ATCAGAAAACTTCAGGTCAGTAATGTCGCATCGTTACAGATGAAGCTGTGAACGAGTCCACACACTGACTGACATGCTGGAAATCACTGTCTTCTTTTTTCTGATTGGCCATCAGCTAGTCAAATACTGGAAAATCTGATTCGTTTCTCCTTTAAAAACTAACAGCTCTCGTAGTTTTCTGAATGAAGTCGTAGTTTGTTACCTCGGAGCTGGGAGACCTCGTGCTTAGCATCTCTGTAACGGCGCCTCATTTCCTCCAAGTCTCTCAGCAGCTTGTTCTCCTGAGAGCGACTCTCTGTCAGCGACGTCTCCAGGTCCTGAAGCCTCGCCGACAGCTCCAGGTTACGACTGGACGCTTCGACCAGGTCTTTGTCCTGACAGAGACACTCGTGGAGTAGTTATAACATCACATGTGTGAGGGATGTTGGATTAAACTGCGAGTCTGAGGGACTTACTTTCATCTTGAGCATCGAGCTCAGTTCTTCCTCTCGGACCTGAAGAGAACCAACTTGTGTGGATAGAGCCATGACAGCGGAGCTGAGGCTCTGGTTCTTCGCCTGGAAAATATCACAAACCACTTAAAACCAGACCTCATTTTCCCTGCCTCTCTTTTCCATTGGCTGCCTCCAAAAAATGAAAAAAGTATTTGTTTGACTGGGACTGAGGTTGGATAAGGTAGGGAATTGGAAGTACAAATAAACACAGCATAAAATTGTAAAATTTTGAAGGCCCACCATAATTAATAGATATTTTCACATTGACATGACAGAAATGTAAAAGAATTTTAAGGCAATTAATCGCATCTAAATTTTTTAAAATGCAAACAGACTGGCCAGAGTCGAAATGATTGCACATTTCTGGTACATCCGCTAATCTAATGCAAGAGCAATATCCGCAAACAGCAACGGATGACAAACCTGCTCCCATTGGCCTGATGGGGGTTCATTTTTGCCTCAAAACACAATCTGATTGGATGCTGGAATAGACCATGGTCATGTTCAAGCTGTGCTAAAAGGAGTTACCTTATCAGTGGAATTATTAAAGCCTAAAATAGCATCTCAATGCTAAACAGGCAGCAGTAGCACAGACACCTCCAATGCTAATGTTACCAGAGAAGTTCCCTTCCAAATAAATAGAATACTAATTTTTCTGATGGTTGAATAACAGATTGAAATAAATATATTTGACCTTGAACTCATTTGTCAGTTTATTCAACAGTTATGCAGAACAAAGGGGTTTCTGAATTGGACTCATTTCTTATTTTTGTCGATATGCATGTTTCGATGAACCACAGATGTTGTAATTAACTGTATTAAGAGTTTTAATTGAGTCCTGACACTACGGCGAATACAAGCAGCTGTACAACTGGGCGGACCCACGTTACCTCGTAGTCCTGACACTTTTGGCTGATTGGCTGCTGCTTCTTTTCCAGCTCACACAGCAGCTGCTTAGCGTCACCAAGCTCCGACTTCGCCTCTTGCTCTCTGCTTTCCGCAACCCACACGTGTTTAGTCAGGACACCGATCACCTCGTTGCACCTCCGCAACTCATCTGCAAGAAAACACACACACATGAGTCATTTACTAAATGCCATCAGGTGAGATGAACATTTTTGCATGAAAACAGATTCTTCTCAAAATAATAGTGACTGGCCTCAGAAGACTAATGCTTGCAGAATTTCTGATTGTATTGGTGTAATTCAGTTCATGCATTTTTTGGATAAAGAAAGTATTATGTAGAAAGTCTTTTTTCCACAATACTGGCCCTTTAGCAGCATTCTGTGCTCTCACCATCCAAACGAGAACACCTCTGCTCCAGCACCAGCGCAGCCTGACGGTCTTGTTCCCAGGCCTGCTGCTGTCTCTGATGGGAAGCCGACATGGCGTTCAGCTCTCGCTCTCTGTCCTTCAGCTCGGCCATGAGGAGCTGCAGCTCCCTCCTCTGCCTCTGGATGGTGGAGCTGCTCAGGTCTTTCACAGGAAGCTTCACGAAAAACATCAAAAAAGGAAGGAAGCAGTCGGGTTTTTTAGTTTATAAACCAACATCGTCCGGGTTTCTGAGCAGTCTGGAAAAGAACTGAACTTTTTTCACTGTATGCGTTTTAAAAGGTGTGGGTAAGTATGGAAATATATTCTTATTTCCAGATGTTGTACCCCATTGTCTGAAAGTTTTGTAACCATCCATGCAATCATTCATCTGCTAATAATAACCTTCTGTCCATCATCTAACTATTCATCCATCCATCCTCTCTCCCTTCTCTACACTCTGTACAATTCTGTAAATTGCGTCAAGATATTTACAAACACAGATCATTGTCCCAGAAGTTATTGTGAGAAACGATAATATTGTTGATTTTAGATCATTTCCGAGTACAACACTGGTAATGGCATAACGATGTCAAAGATTGAATAGACATTAAATTCTAGCGAACTTTTAACAGTGGAACTGGAGGACATTTATATATCCAAAATAAATAAAACAACAGAAACAACAAAGATGATTAATTATGAAGTCTCTGTAAACAAAACTTTCCTTCAAAAAAAAAGGCATTAGTTGAGATCAAAACACCAGACTGAAGACTTTTGTCATCCAGAGAGAAACAAGAAAACATTCAGATGGAAATTGTTCAATTCAATTTATCGTGCAATTAATTGATATATTATTTATTGCCTCAGGGCTAAAAATAGATGTGTAAAATTATATTATACAATATTCAATTTTTCTTTGTTACCACCTTTATATACCTACTCCATTGCTTTATTCGGAAGCTAAAATCTAAAGGAAATACATCTGAAAACATTATTTCACATGTTGTTTCATTCACTGCTGAACTTTAATGACTTTAGCGTTTAGCTCTGCATTATGTTTTCTTTTACTGCCTCCCATATTTGGTGGAGATATATCCCTAATGTTTTAGTCTGAGTATATGTTCTGTTTAAATGATCAATGAATAAAAAAAAAAAATAGTTTGTCCTTCGTCGTGGGGATAATAAAGATCTGGACAGAAGCGAGTTTTGACCTCACCTCAGCACCTTGTACACTGAGACCACAGCAGGAACCTGTTGGGACCCACTGGGTTGGCGAACCTCCGTTTGGACCACATGGCTGTTTGCCACCGAGTGGAGAAACACTACCTTTCTGAAAACCAGCAGAAAACACACTGCCTGTGGTTATCACTGTGAAACACAGTCATTTGGGCCTCTTAAGAAGCTGTGTCCATTTTGAACATTTCCAGACCGGAAATGGCCCAAACTGACGGACAACAATAAAAGCCAGACCTCTTTAACTGGAGTGCTGTGCCACAGTGAAGCTGTTCCGTCTGAAACAAACAGTGAAAGTGACGTGGATGGAAAAAAAAAATCCATCATAGCTTAAATGGACGGGGTGGCTGGTTACCGTCTGCTCTCAGAAAGGCGCTGTCTCCGGAGGTGAACAGTCTTCTTCTGCCGTCCATGATGTCACAGCTGTTCCCCGCTCCTTACGTCACATCCACGTTCAGCCATTCTCGTTGTTGAGCTTCGGCTGAGGGCGCAGCGGAGAAGGAGAGCTTTAAAACGGCTTGCCATAACGGTGAACGTACCGCAGCCTCTACTGACGCAAACTCAACTGTGAGATTAAACCAATGCAGCAGTATGAAGTTTCACGAAGCGTCTCACCAACTTTTGAGACTAATGACGTGCAGATGTTAAGACCTGACGTCATCGGCGCCCGTCCAGCCTGGCTTTTCAGAGTAATCCAGGAGAAATTTCAAAATAAAAGAGAGAACGATTTCTGTCTGAGTGAAAAAAAAGATGGCCGAAAGGAATTAGGAAAATAAATAAAAAAAAAAAAAAAATGATGAGCATAATAACATTTAAACAACACACAAAGACGTAAATTCATAAATGTATTACTTACATACTGTCAATTTATCCAGACTGGATATTTACTGGGTGGGAAATAATGATAGGGGAACATGGCGGGAAATATGAGGTATGAAAAGATCATATTTTCAGGAAAATTGCTATAATGGATTTATTTTTAGTAATATTATTGCTTTGAAAAACATGTTGAAAATGATTTATTTGTGGAAATCTTTTTTTTTTTTTTTTAATGAATACTGACCAGTTTGTTGCATTTTTTCCCACTGGTATTTTAAACAATTACTACACTAAGCCAATTATTGCAAATTAACCTCATGTCTAAAGGATTACTTTATGAAAGATTTGCTTAAATCAAATTACATTTATTTATTCATTGAACAGAAGAGGGCGCCATTTATCACAAAATCATCCAAAGAAACTCCAGGGATGAGCTGAGCTGGGTTTTGATAATTCCACATGAATTAAATATTCAAATTTTATTAAGGCTTTGTAACATAGTTGTTCTCTCATAGTTATTTATGTATGAGCATATGTTCACGTTGTGAACATATGCTCAATGTGACAATCCACAGACACATTTTGTACCTGCTTCGCATTTCATTCCAATTTCTGTTGGGAGTTTTGCTGACACTCATCTGGGACCACAGAGCATGATGCTTTGGGATTATTGTTTCTGCCATGACTTCTCAATGTAGTTATTTGAGAAGAGAACGTCTATGAGTGCCTCCATGCCATGCTGCACTCACTGTGACTTTTTAATGGAAAAGGTTACCGCTGTAAACGCTGGTAAACATCGCAGTGTACAACGTTTATTGGCGAACACGGTCATGTAGTGTTTGGACAAACAAAATGGAGAGAAATACCCTATAAACCAGAACTGCTACTAGGCTTTTAACGTGGGGGGAGCGTGGGAAACCAAGCTCATTATTCCACTTAAAATTGTTGCTGTTAGTTGAGGTGAAAGGTCACGATATTTAACTGTGCAGAAGACATGTTATGTGAGACCTAAAGGAATTACCCAGGTTTAAATTTTCCTTTTAATTCAGACTCTTGTTTAAAAGTCAATCTTGTTCTTGCTGACTAAAAGACGCTCATGGACACGGCCAGAAAATCTAAAAAGAAATCAGGACAACAGAAAACCTGTCGTAGAATTTCTATTGGACCGTTCAGGAATATACAGTACATAGAAAACAGTGACATATTACATCATATCCACGTCTGTAAAATACTTGTCTGTGCAGATGTTACATATATAAAACATTACACCAACAATTAGAGTCGTCACTTGAAAAGTACACAACGCATAAAGTTTCCTGCAAAGCGTTTTCCCACTGGGAGTGTAAACCTCTAAACTTTCAGTCTTTTTAACTGGGAGAAAAATAAAAATGCAGCACACGTTAAAAGCTGTGTTTCTGTTTTATGGCACCGTGTACACATGCGTCAGAAGGAGACCTCTGATCGGTATTTACAGAGACTAGTGCCAACAGTTCGTTGCATCACTTTTACCCGGGAAGATTCAATATGATCCAAAAATTTGTGCTTTAGAACAAAACATGTCCAAAGGTGGTTGCTACAGGAGTTTAATTTAAGGAAATTAAATTCCACTTTAGAAAATCTGCCTGTTCACGTTTAGCCTTCAACAAAAAGCTCAAGCTGGCAGCTTGTTGGCTTAGCTCAGCGAGAGCACAGAGTGAATATTGAGCTCCAAAGCTAAAGCTTGTTTATGACACCAATATTTACAGCTGGAAAATGAATAAAAACATGGCATAACACAAAGTTTAAAAAAAGACAAAAGTATGCTTAGGAGAAAAAAAAGGCTAAGTGTTCCACTAGTCTTTAAGCGTAATAAGAGCTGTGCATTTTTGCAGATCGCTACAATAGCTTAGAAAAAAGTTGGAGGAGATGGCAGATTAACTGTCTCATACCATACAGTCAGAACATAGCGACTGTGTGGTATGTGTGCTTTGTCCGATCACCACACACACACAACGCAGAAGTCCACTGGTCACACAAACATGTAAAAAACAGATTTATATATTTTAAGTTACATATTATAGCCTCAAGGAAAAGGTCAAAATAAGAAAATTTACTAATCACAATAGGAAGAACGGAATGTCTTTTTTCTTCCAGTTCTGAAAGTGAATAAGCGTTACAACCAAAATGTCAACTCTTAGCTTTGGAGAACAGTATTCCCAAAAACAAAAACAAAAAATGTCACAACTGCAGACCACAGCCTGCTTAAACACCAAATCTTTAAAGTGGAGAGTGCAATACCAGGGTGGACGCCACATCAGTCTCCTGTACTACAGTAGTCCTACTACAGGCGTTAAACTTCATCAGTGCTAGCTTATTTCCCTGTAAGAGCGGTCGCTGGCTTTCAAAACATCAGGAGACAAATAACAAAACGTAACTTCATCAAACCGCCTGTCGCTTTCACCGGCAACGCACAGCAAGGCCAAAACGCAGATATGTTCATCCCTGACTTAGAAGACAAGAAACTGAGGAGGAGACGCGTGTCGGACTAGAGGGTTGAAATCTTGACCTTAAAGCAAGCTCCGACAAAAAGTTCCCCGTAAAGCTGTCGCAGAAAAGTAAAGCATAAAAAAAAATTCATACCAACAACTAGAACAGCTGTAAATCCCACGATGTAATGATGGAAAATAGCCAAACACAAGCTTCTTATTTTCATTTTGGATCCATTTCCCGAATTTTAATTTTTTTTTGTCGCGTCGTCTTCTAGGTTTTTTTTCCCCTCCCAAATGCATCTACTTTCTACAGAACATCACCCATCGTTTCCATCAGGTACCATTCAGTGTCAACATCGGTCAAACTACAAGTGTTTTAAAACGTTGGTATGTTTTCATAAACACGGTGTAACATCGCAAAAGAAATACGCAACCGTTAATAAAAAAATATATAATTTAAATCGTAATAAGTCATAGCTTCAAAAATAAAAAAGGTTAAATAATAAATCTGTGCTCAGAGGATATATAGAGGATATTTTGATCAAAAACTGCTGTGATGGTTTATTTAGCGCATAAAGTTGTAATATTTCCAGAATAAGAAAATGTTTCAAGATGAGCATCATTAGAAAGCCTGATTTGTGAGCTGATGTCTTGCAAATTAATTCATATTTCTCACATGTTCTAACATCATAATCATAAATCTTATCATATTTTATTGGGATTTCATGAAATTGAGCAAAAACAAAAAAAGGGTCCGGAACGAAAACCGACGTTTTTTATTAACAAGTAGTAATCTATATTTTTATTCAAATCTCTTCACTTTAATGCCCCAGAATAAAATGCAGCAAATTGTGTTTAGATGTAAAAAGGCCAATTTTTATAAATAGTTTTGTGTTTTGTACTCAACCTCAATCGCTCCGACGCCCCAAAATAAAACCCAGTCCAAGAGATTCTCTGATACAAAAATTTGTGTTTCTGAGCCTCAGCATAAATAAAGCTGAGGGCCAGAGGTTCGCTAAAGAACATTAAAGTTTGTGGTTACAATGAAGCAAAAGGTGCAGAAGACGAAAGGATATTCCTCCAAATTGACAGCAGCTTATGAATTTATGAATCTTGTTTCCTCTTCTCCATAAATGTTGGCGACTTTCCCTTTGTGCTCCAATTATTGTCTTCTTGTATGCAAAATGAGATATTCCTATTTAAGATTTTCACACTGAATTATTGCTGCTCTCTAGAAACAAAATATCCACATTTCAACTTTATCATATTGTTATATATATATATTTTTATATAAAAGTTTTTTCTCACGTGTTTTAAGGAGTGTTTTATGCGCTCTTAAGTATCCTGTTTATTACAGATTGACTCACCCTCAAACCGGACAAAGACGTTAACTAATAAAACCGAGCATAAATCACTTATTTTACGCGTCATGCGGCAGTGCTGCTGATTAGTTAACGAAAACAGTGCAGACCTTTGTTTCCCTTCAGTTTCAACTGAGCTTCATTAAGTTGCATCACCTTGTTGCCGAAAACAAAAGCCTAAAAACGACACGTGGAAAATCACTTTCACTTAGTAAAAAAAACAAAAACGTCTAAACGTAAAAAAAAAACCACGAGTGCAGAAAGCTAATTTCATTTGATAAAAACATCAATATTGCACCGACGAAGCGTATTTGGACGAGCATTCTGCATCGCAATCAGAACCCCGTCTTTCAGAGGAGCAAGTTACGTTAGGAGAGTCGATCGCAGCTCTACGCATCAACACAGTATAAAAATACATTATGGAAATAATCTGAGGGATTTATTAGAGCAGGAGCGTAAGAAATGCATCAGGCGACGGAGCGGGAGGGCGGCGCGCCTCAGAAGGTCTGGTCATCGTTACACGACTCGGTGGCGTGGCCGAAGACCTCGCAGATGTCGCAGTAGGGCCGCTCGTCGGCCGGGTTGCCGTGGTAGGCGGTGTGAGGTATGGAGTCGGGGCTCTGCGCCTGCGTGGGACAGTCCTCCGTGTCGTGGAGGTCGAAGCAGTCGCAGATGTCGCAGAACAGACGAGGAGCCGACTTCTTTTTACGCTTTGGTACCGCTTCCTCAAGCCTGACAGAGAGAACAAGAGAGCTGACTGACCGTTTCAGATTGATCACTGAAGAAGCTCTACGGACGAACTTATCGTTTTGGGGCTTTTTTTTTTTTTTTTTTTACCCGTCTGTGCCATCGTTTCCATTGAACTCCGACAGGACCAGCTTCTTCAACTTGACCTTCAGCTCCTCGTTCTTCCTCTGCAGGTCCACGATCACACTGTTCAGGAAGTTGATCTGACCGAGCCAAACATATAGATAATTATTTAAATCACGTGTCATAATATGGCACAAGATGAAACGAATCTTTTTGGATCCATTCAAGTGTTTGCAGACGGCCTCACCTGTCCCTCAGCGAACTCTTTTTCTTCTCTCAGCTGCTGCACGACAGGATCGCCTGTCCGGACAAAAAACCCCGCATTTTTTATTTTATCTGCTCTCAAACTACAATCCAAAACCTATTAGGAATATTTGCCCACCTGATGGGAGAGCCTCCTGGCCCTCAGCGTCTGAGGTCTGGCTTCCCATCAGCCTTTGCTCTAGAGTGCAAACTCGACTCTGCAGCTGAGCTTTGTCCTTCTCCAACGTCTCCACAGCCGACTGCAGCGTCTTGGCCATGGCGCTCTCTCCGCGCAGCACGGCAATCTGCGAAAGACGGAAAAGACCTTCCACACCTGCGATGGAGAAACGACTGAGAGGTGGGATTCTGATGCGAGTACCTCGTTCCTCAGAGTTTCCAGTTCTCTGTCTTTGTCTGAGATTAAAGCTCCCGTGGATTTCTGAAGATCCGGATCTCCCTTCTTGTCTTGATTTGAAAGAGCTTCTCTACAGAGAATAAAAAAAAAGAAGTATTGTTACCAAGCATGTTAAACTTTGAACTTCGATGAACCAAAACCAGAAATGATTCTAAACAAAATAAAAACACAATGATCAAAGACATCAGAAGCTGTGTTTGCATTAGCATTTGCTCAATTTGAAATTTCGGAAATAAATGAGCAATTTTGAAAAAAGCTCTCGATCTTCTATTAAACACAGATTTGGATCTAGGATGAGCTCTTTTTTTGGCTGTGTCAAAATTGGTTTATTTCACAAAACTACAATGAAAACACTTTTTTCCACATCACACGAGTCACATGATCAACCACTGGATGTTGCCACTGACAGAAATCCCAAATAAGAAGACAACAGGAAGTAGTTGGAGGATGATGACGCAGCATGTTTTTTAATGACTCACCATGTGTACAAACGTCTGCATAATTATGTTTTTTCAACATTAGTGGAATATCGTCAAAGTTTTGCGCACATTTGTAATGGAAACGCAGCTGGTGCAGCATGAGCCGGCTTTCTGGGTCAAGGTATACTGAGGTTTTAAGAAGTTGAGATTTTCCTAAACCACTACAGTTTTGCATCACACTATTCCTACATTTCAATGTATGTGATCCAGAGGAAGTGCTGTTGAAACATCGTGGCAACAACCAGTTACTGAAAGATGACTACTGCACTCTCCTTTAGCTTACAAGAACGACCCAGTCAGGTTTTGAAACATTTACAGTACAAACAGTCATGACAAGGACATACATTTGCATCACTCCTCTTCTAACTGTTTTAAAACTACAATCTATAATTGGCATGTATGCTAAAGGGACAGTAGCATATATGTTCCAGAGCTATGTTACCTACAGTTCTTATAAAACGCTGCGTTTATCAAATATGACTGAAAAGAAATTTGACGTTACAACTGGACGCCTTGGAATTGAGCCACTGTCCCTTTAAGAAGCTCCTGCTCTTTCCGACACTTCACCTTCAGGAAGTCATCACAATGTACAATGTTCTTGCCTGGCTTGGATTAAGAAGTAGTTTGTATGATGAGCTCAGCAGACTCTCAGTTTTTGTAATTACTATTCATTTTCACATGATATGAAACTCTTCGATGTCAATTTTAAATAATAGCCACGGCCCTTTATGTGGTTGTCAACTGTGAGTTGACTATCTGAGCAGATTCTCTGATTATTTACTGGTAACTAGTAAACTTCTCAGTTGCAACCACGGTTACTCGTATAGCTCTTAAACAAAATCACTCGCCCATTCCTGATCTACTATGTTGTCCATTAAAAGGTGTAAGAAGTGAAAAGTTTTTGGTAAATAATTAGCTGCTGCAAGTTTGTCACACCATCACATCACCACATTTTAATCTTTTTCATTTGCATAAGTTCAAGTTTGGCGGCAGGAAAGTTAGACTGTGACATTCTGAGACTTGCAAAAATCCAAACTAAACTGCAAAGTGTGAAGCATTGAAGATTATTAACCCAAAATGTGCATGATATAATGCAGATTTTTTTTCCAAAAGAAACTCTCAATCTAAATTTATGAACATTAAGTAATATCAGAAAAATAAAAATAAATAAAAATAAAAATGCAGGTACTTGGCTTAAAGCTGAGTTTCTTCTCCTCACCTCCAGTCGTTTGGAGAGTCGGCTTCAAACTTGATTTTATATCAAAATTAAACATTATTTATTTATTTTTAACTAACTGCTTAAAGCTTTTGCTTTCCTTTCCCTGGGTGAAAATATGAATTTGAACATGAAGTATAATCAGCTTACAGCTGCGTTGCATTTGTAAAGTAAACTACAAAAAACAAGGATTATGCCTGAATTCCAACAAGCATGATTCAAGCTTCATCCAGCCAACTATCCACAAACATCTCTGCTCCAGTCATCCAAACACGTCGGAGGGAAAGCAGAGACATTGTCTCACCGAATCACATCCACCTTTTCCAAGTCTGCTTGACTACACTCTCTGCCTCAGCATCTGTTATTTCTGCTCCGACTGAAGCTTCATTGTTTCCCTCTGGCTGCTCGTCTTCACCTGTTCCACTCACCTCTTAAACACATACTCACTTGCTGTCGCCGATCTCCTCAACCATTCTAAAATATTCCCTTTAAGCATGAGGTTCTGCGTAAACGCTTCAGAAATGGTTTAAATATTTTGATTACGGTGCATAAGCTTCTCTTTCTGGCTGACGTAGAACACAGCTGCTTTGTTTTCAGATGTTTTCAGTTTCAGGGCTTAAACAAAAACCAGAATTTGTTTAAGCCAAATTTTGGACAAAAAATGAAAAAAATCACATTTAAAACTGAATTCCTCAAACCTTAAGATGATAACATTATATGCAAACCCACACTATATGTTCCCTCCGCAAAAACAAAAAGCTTAGAATGTGCAGAACATGCAAAAGAAAACTGCTTAAACTGATTCAATCAACTATTTGCTGTGCATCACAGATATATTAAGACAGTTGTTAATGCTCAACTAGAGAATAAATCAATAAGCAAACATGCACATTTGTTGCTTACCTGGTCTTCATGTCTGGCTGTTGACCGTTGTGGTCTGTGTTGCGCTGCGAGTCAAACACACAAACATAGACGTATTTAAATAGAACGTAAATCCGTCTTGGCTTGAGCAGTTTATTCACGGCAGGAGCTCAGACCAAAGCCCATTCATCAAATCTCCATTTCGGAATAAACAAACCCCCTCGGATCCATAACAGGATAGAGGGAGCCGCTTACGTAAGGTGGGATTTGGGAGAAATTCGGTACCTCGTCCAGGCGCTGAGACTTCTGGGAGGCCAGCTTCAGCTCCTTACTGAGGGGGAACAGAAAGGAAAGCGGTCGACACGTTGTTCAAATATTTAATACACACACAGTGCATACATGCAAATAAATACCGTCACAAGTTCTGTAACATGAGCAGTCACCGAAAATTAAGATGACCCATAACATTTTCTGTTCACAATAAACGCTCATCAATCGATGTTTCATTATTTTTTTTATTGATCTGTGAGGACAAGATTATTTCCCTGAACTCAGAAAAAAAGAACTTTGTCTTACTCAAGCAACAGATAACAAAAAATTTGTTTTCTACCTAACAAAAAAGTCAGAGCACTCTGTGGTTTTTATTTAGTTTTTCATTCTTGTGTTTTGTTTAGGATGTCTAAAATATTTAAAATATTAAGTGTCCTTTACTAAATTAAATGTATTGGTCTGTCAGAGGGTGAACTGGCACTGCTATGACTTTATCACTTGAATGTTAAGATAAATTATATCAATATTATCATTTATCGGAATAATTATTGGGACAGTTCAGAGTCTAGTGAAATTTGTTATCATGACATGCCTAAGTGAATTTACCTTATAGTGATGCGTTCTTTTGAGACCTCTTTAATACCTTCTCCTCGCCCTTCCACTAATTTTATTTGATTTTTTACACAATTCTGGTCAGTTCTCATCTCCTTCAAACTACTGAGTAGTGATGTAGACCTCATGCAATATGCCTTTGTGTCATTTTAGCCATTTTAAGTGGTAATAAAGTTATTATTTCACAGACAAATTTAAAAAGTTGTTTCTTCAGCTGGACAGTTTAAAACACTTGAATCTTTCAGTATTGTGGAAATTATTATTAAATATTCATAAACCTAAATGTGTCAACCATGCAGATATTCATCAGAGCTACCATGTGAAGAGTCTGGATTGTTAACTACTAGGCTACCATAAGTACAGTGGTAGTTTTTATGGTGGCAATGTAACGCAAACATTAACATAGGAGAATCACTGAGGTGCAGTTTCATAAAACTGACTAGAACAAATGACTAATTATTTTTTATTAGGATTTTAAAAGCAGAATTAGCCCCAACAAGAAGTTACATGCATTTATAGAAAACTAAATACTGTATGACAAAAGAAACGAGAAAAAAAAATCCAATCAGAAAATGTAAAGTACTCGCTATATTCAGGTAATCTGCGTTAGACTGAGACGCAGCATGAAAGGGCTGTTTTGTCTGCGAACTTAAATACCCAGATATTTTTAGATACCGGAACCAAACGATTTCCTGTGCAAATTGAGATTTGTTCCCATGTGGGTCGCTCTATGGATCTGTGTCAGAGGCAGATCACTGGAGCTACGTGAGACTAATAACATGTTCTGGGTGCCATCTGGGTGAAGTATCTGGCTGCATGACGTTTAATCACATCCATCACGGCTCTCCACAATCCCAGCGCTGTACCACAGCAGGCAGCGCGCACACTCAGAAGGGAAATGTGCGCCGTGCTAAATATGCCTTTCCATGCTCTGTAATGTGCTACCCACCCTGCATATCAACTCACTCGGACGGATAAACAAAATTCAACCTAGTTTCTGCTGCACGCCAACAATTGTGATGTATTTATCCTTTCAAGGCTGCATGAACGGCAGACAGAATCTAATGGAACAACATGGAAAACAAAGGCAACAATCAAAATGAGGTTGTTGTGATCCTGAAAGCACCAATCAGTTCAAGATCAGATCACTTTAAGCTTTTATGCTACTCTCAATGATATCTCTATTAGCTAGTATTACTAATGACAGACACATTACATCAGATTTAGGTTTGGATTTCCAAAGTATATGCCAAAATAGGAGAAAAGCTTATGGGATGCAATGTTGTCATAATGTTATCCAATGTGTACACAAACCTGCTTTTTCTGCAACAGAAAGACCAACAACATAAAAGTGTTGAGGAATTCCATGAGTTAGGAACTGATACTTGAAATACACGGACAATAAATATGTCTTCTTTCACACCATCAATATCTGTTTTAAGGAATAACTCAACCAAAGGGTAACAGTTGGTTTTCACATGTCTTTACCTAATCAGTGGGATCCCACAGGGCTGAGTGCTGAGTCTCCTGATCTTCAGTGAAATCTGAGTGCAGTACTAGAAATAGTCCAGTAGGTGGCTCTCTACCTCCCAGATCAAGGCATCAACATTGAAGTTTAGATGTGAATCCAATTCAACTAATTGAATTTAACCACAGGCCAGAGCCTGAAGCAAACCTCACAAACTTTTATAGAGATTTTACTCCTTTTTGTGGGGGCCACTATTTAAGTTAGCAGAGTAACCTTTCTAGTTTTTAGCTCCATCTTGTCGCTTGTTGTTACTGCAGGGTAAGTAAAGTGCAAACCATGTCCAGCAGAATTAGGCATTGTGTCACCTGTAAGTTCAATTGTGTAAAAAAAAGAAAGAAAAGAAACTGTAACTAAAAACAGCCAAAAACATCCAGTAAAGCCAAGTTTAAATGTGAATGTTAACTCCTGTCTTTCACTGTGTCAACATTTCTACTTTTTCAACTACTAGTCACACACAAACACAAAGCCCACATGTGAGCTGCAGTGCACACTGCCTTTTTTTCAGAAAGATGAAAGCCTCATTGTTTCAACATCAACAAACAAACGCATAGTAACACACTCTCTCATACACACACACACACACACACACACACACACACACACACACACACACACACACACACACACACACACACACACCACACACACACACACACACACACACACACACACACACACACTCTGATGGCATGGCGGGAGAAGCGGCTACGCCGGAGCCAGGCGGTTCCAGGAGGAGAAGAGCGCTTACGTAACATTAAAGACAGGAAGGATGTGGAAAGGATGGAGGAGCACATTGTTGGGACAAGTCGAGATGGAGGAAGAGAAGGATGGAGAGTTTCGACACGATCTGTCCATTTAAACATTTTACTTCATCTAAAATATTTAGACCTACTAGAAGCTGACAAGACGACATCGCCTTGTTACTGGGTTGGTTTTGTTGAATTGCTGCGTTTGTTCCAAAATTGATGGCTTTGAGTGAGCCAGTTGCATCAATCTGGAGCTCTGACGTCAGAAGCTTGGGTTACTGATGACTAAGAGAGGGGGCCTAGAGAGGGGGGTGTGGCATGATGGGGCACATGAGCACAAACACACGTGGGGCACATGACGGATTCACACGAGCAGAAAAATCTAAAAATAAACCTCTGCGTCAGGCTGCAGATCAACATAAACATGAAACAGAGTAAAAAATAAACGCAGTCCAAGGACACTTCATCAGTGTTGTCACTGATCCAAATGATGACTTTTAACGTTTTCTCTTATTTATCCACAGATGTGCGGTGATTATGATTTAGGTTAGTTTATAAAATGTCATCATGTTACCAGGCGCCCGTATAATCATCGATTTGACCAATGAAAATCAAGACCTACCATGTTTGTTTTGTGCATTAGCAGAAAACAATGACTCAGCAGAATTTTTGGAAGAAGGAAGGAAAGAAGGAAGGGAGAAAGGACTGATGTACGGATGGATACTTTCAGCAGATAACAGGAAGGCTGAATGCTTCTTATACTTCAGCCCATTATCAGAGATCATTGAGGATGTGGACAGAATAAAACTTAAACAGAGATCAGGATTCAGCTAAAATTCAGATTGTTAAATTTCCAAATGAGGACAACAAGACCTAAACGTTACAGCTGATGTCGATGAGGCAAAACCTTTATAAAAAAAATAAAAATTTATATATATATATATATATATATATATATATATATATATATATATATATATATATATATATATATATATATATATAAATTATGAATCTTTTTATTAGTGATTTTAGTGAACATTTTCTATGTACTTTCTTCCATTCTAGTTGAAGTGGCTGTTTCTAAAAAGAAAAATGTAATTAAAATGCTTTTTTGACTAACTTCAACAGGTCTGACCTAATATGGTCAGTGCTGCAAAACTAAAGAAATGAAACTTGGACATGAACTAATTGAGACATTCATATGTCAGTCAGTTTCAGTGACAACACAGACTGGCAGTTAATAAAATTAAATGTATGAGAGCTATGTTTTAATATACTTCATTGCATTTATAATCACCTAATAATGTGCTCTAGTTTATTTTGTAGCATATTTTCAAGATGGATAATCTCCCTGGAGACCTACAGCTCCAGCTGGGGCTGCTTTGTAAAACATTTGGCATTAGTGGAGCTAATAAAGTTTTTTTTTTTTTTTTTTTTTGTATTTTTAAGTCTTAAAGTAGTTTGGCTGCTTTAAGACTTAAAATTAGATGAATTATTGGCGTAATTTTAGTGAGCTTGAAAATCCAGGGAGACTTTTAATCGACAGTTTAGACCCTGGAGGTAAATTGAACAGCTCCAGCATAATGAACTCGCAGGCATGGGGTCACCGACACAGAGGCAGGAAAAAACATCACATGCTGGGAACTCACATTTCCTTGCAGAGGATGCCAATCCGCAGGCTCTCGGCGCTGCTGCGCTCCTTCGACAGGCTCAGCTCCTCCTGGTATTTGGAGTTCTGCTGTTTCAAAGTGTCGAGCTGAAGAGGAGACCAAAGTGGAGGAAGAGAGAATTCGTTAACTTTGGTGGCAACATCCCCACTGACTTAGATTGCTTTCTATGGTGGGGAGGGCATGATGCAACTATTACACTTATGGGGCAAAGAAAGTTTCTACGACTGTTAATACCTCTGTGGAAGTAATGGACCGCCTCTCCTGCTCAGAGAGAAAAGAGCAGCAAGCTAGTGCGAAGCAAGCACATTTATCAGTGTTGGCACTTTTCCCACTGAATTCACATACTTTAAGAATTTTCAAGGTAAGTTTTCAAACTTTTCGGCACCTCACTTTGGAGGAATAAACAACACAAATGAGCTAAACATGAGTTTCAGTTAACTATTATATTTATTACTGTCAACAATAATGTCTTCAATGGTATTTGACATTCAGCAGCAGGGACAAGGTAAACTAAAATATATCAAAAGTTTGTTTTGAAGTGACAAAAATTCTCCTAATTCAAATAATGTTTTACTTATAAAATACAAGCCAACATTTATTTCAGCTGTTAAATTATTAGGGATAATAAATATCACATTGAAATAATCCTAACTGTGTTAAGATAAATGTCCTTTGTGATCAAATTTGCAAAAAACTAAAACTGGTTAAGTTGCGGCTGCAACTTCATCAAAAGGTGATTTTTACGAAGTATAAACAGCGAGGATGAAAACGGTTTTCCTTCACATTTTCCAAAATGTTTGTACCTTTATGCTTTATTGTATTATAATCTCGCAGTGCTTTCAGTGTTTGCTCGCCAGTAAAAGTGAGTTGAAACAACGTGGCAATAAAAATAAAAGCACCAGCAATATCCTCTCTTGTTAAACTATTTTTTGTCTTCAAGGAAAACGTTCTGCTTCTTGACTGAGGCTCCAAACACATCAACAGTCACTCCTGACGAGACACGTGCAGCGCAGCATCATCCACAGCGCTATGAGGACATCAATAATTAATTAAAAGCTTCAACAAAAAAAAAAAAAAATCAATGTACAAAAAAAAAAAGAAAATATGAAGAAGTCGACACGCCAGACCTCTACTGTATGTTACACTTCATCAAATTATTAAGTGTGACATCAACTGTGCAGGGGGAGTTTCACGCTGCTCATTGCTTCTGTGTTTATCTGCACATTCAACCTGCCATCTGCTCAACACGCCGAACTCCTCAACATAAATAATTACATGCAAACTTGGGGACAAGTGTGCAGTAAAAAAAGCAACCCGGCTCTCTAAGGGCCGGGTTGTGTTTGAAAATGAGGCGTTTGAGGCAACAACCACTCGTCCTACCTGGTAATGATTTGAGTAGATGTTGCTGGAGAAGCCCTGATGCAGAGCAGCAATGTCCATACCTAGGCTGCTGGATTTTTAAAATTTTTATTTTTTTTCCCAAGCCAAGTCCAAGCAGCGGCTTGTTTTTTGTCGCCCGGTTGCCTCCGCTCTTGTTCTGCCCGTTTCACGCGCCGCCGAACAGAAGCTGAGCATCAACAAAGCATCAGTACTCGTCTCCCCGCCGTGCGCAGCTGCAGGAGGGAAACAGAGAGAGCATGCTGCCTGCTCTGCCTCTCTCTCTCCCTCTCTTCTTCTCTCTCTCTAAGGGTCGGGTTGAACAAGCAGATCACTTACATAATGTAAGCCTGCAGAAGCTCCTCCCACTTCTTATCCCCGCCTCCTGGCAGCTCACTTTGAGATGCTCCTATCGTACACACACACACACACACACGCACGCATGCACACACGCACACACACCTCTTCACAAACCTTTGCTTACCATTCACAGGGCATCGTAGCACCTAATGTCTCCATTTTCTGTGTACTCCTCTGTTTTCAATAAAGGTGCTTTTGATTCATGACTTTTCAGCATGTTTTCAATCTTTTCGTCTTCCAGAAAAAAATTGATAACCGGTTTTGTGGCAGAGCAGTGGGAAAGCATGGGGTTGATGTTGATGCTTTGATAAGGACGTCACAGAAGCTTTGTGTTAGCATGCTCTCGTTTTAGAACCGTTTTAACATTAGCAGTTCATTAAGCAGTCCATGGACTGATTTAGTCTGGAATTCACCTGTGTTGGACAGATTTGGTTCAGCCATTTGTATCAACCAGCACAATTGGTTGATACAGATGGCGATCTAGGAAAAAGTCACAGTAATTTCAAAGTAAATGGGATCCAATGACTTAAAGACTTTGGTGCACTGAGCTTTATTTTTAAATTAAGGGATTGAACTTAACAAAATACAGAGAAAGAAAGAGAGACCCGAAATCCTTTCTTATTCTAAGAGTAGAAAACAAACATTCTTCCAAAAAAAGAAAAAAAAGCCAGTTGAGCAGAAAGAAAGTGGAAGCCTTTGTATAAATTTTCATAACTCTTTCTTTTGGATCTAACATGATTTACAATGTCTCTTTCCAACATGAAAAAATCTAACAAATTTATTTGTTTCATTAAAATATTTCACACTTTGTTTACTGTTGAGCAAGTAAAATTTATTATTTATAATAATAACAGGTCTGCCAAAACTTTTGACCTGGTCATTTTTGCCCATGTCCCAAAAAGTTTGGGACATGGGCCAAGAAAATTGCATAAGAAAATTGCATTAACGGTGGTGGTGGTATCATGCTGTGGGACTGGTTTTGTTGCAATTTCTTCAAGTCCAACAAATTTAACAGGTGAAAAAAGAAATTCAAGACTACCTCCACTTTCTTCCACTTCACCTCAGATCTAGAGCTAACTGGTTGAAACTTTGAACTAAATGAGTTTTTCTGCAGGATCCCAAACACATCACAGCTTATTTAAGAATTGAGAAAACAGGAACTCTGGTAGAACAGTAGAAACCTGGAGTCTGATATGAACTAAAAACACAGCTTGGTTTGTCTTACACTGACAAGTTCCTTCAAAAATAAACCAGCTTATCAGTTTAGGGGAAATATTATTCATCAGATGAATCCTTCTCAGTCCAACATGACAGGTCAACCTCAAGTCAGCTGCCATTAATACAGCAGTGTTCTGCCCAGCACCACAACCCACACACACACACATACACACACATAGCGCCGCTCACAGTGACATGTGCAGGATTACATCACAGCCCCATCAGGGTAGAGCAGAGCGAAGAGGCAGATGTATAATTGCTCAGCAACACGCGCTTTTATTTCCCTCCATAACTTCAAAGTTTCTGCTCTCCTAAGCAGCACAATCAAAACACTTCCATCGTCTGCTTTGCCTCTGATTCCTCTATGGATGGGGGTAGAGGATTTGCCCTATTTTGTTATTTCATTTCCTGATCTACAACCTCAACAGATCTGTCGAGGTTGTTTCCAATTTTTGTTTTGTCTCATTTAAATGTGGATTTTCTGTCACATGCCATCAACTTATAAACCTTTAACTTATAAAGCTCTGGCAACAGAAGTGAGTAGACCACTACGCAAAAATGTTCAAATTGTGCCGAAAACGTACATTAAAGATCTGCATAGGTTGCATCAACCTCGCAAACTACTCAAGTCTTTTTGTTCTGTCTGCTCTGCATCCCCAGAACGAGAACCAAACACAGAGAAGCAGCATTCAGCTTCTCTGCACCACAAATCTGGAAGAAACTTCCAGAGAACTGCAAAACTGCAAAAACACGGAGCTCCTTCGAATCAGGGATAAGATCCACTTTTGGAGCTGCCTTCAGTTAATGATATGTGGATACACATTAAAATGTCAACATTTTGATGATTTTGATGGTGGCATTTGACGAAATGTAAAGTTTTGTTTGTTTTATAATTAATTATTGTATTATGTTTTTATGGTGTAAAGCACTTTGAACTGGCTTGCTGCTGAAATAAATAAATAAATGCTATACAAATAAACTTGACTTCAAATCTAAATTATCACTACAATGTGTAATATTAACATCCCAAAGAACAATTCCAACTCTCTTATTTGGTTTTTAGGGTCAAATATTAAAACAAATATATGGGTGAAAGATATTCACCAATATATTAGGTCAGTGGGAAAACTCTTATTTCAAATAGTCTTGAAATTAAACATGTAAAGCAAGTTGTTATGATTGGCTCAGCAAAGAGTGAATATGAACTCCCAGGAAGAAAGCAAGAGGGCGCCAGAGAGCTGCAGACAGACTGAGCAGCAGTACTCAAGTAAAAAAAATATATAATGATGATGATGATGAAAGAAGATGATAAAAATATAAAGTCAGATATAGCAAAGGGAGACAGCAGAGGCTGCAGGGTTTCGTTCATGGTTAATTAAATGCGAAGGCAGCGGCTGACTTTCCCCAACTAGAGCAGCAGCTTGTGTAGCGATACAGTCAGCGTGAATGTACAACAGAAACCCTGCAGGCTGCACATGCTGAGCTCATGCATGCACATGTGCAAAACCTTTCAGAGCACCGAGGAACACACTAAGTAAAACACATGCAGACAAGCGGAAAAGGTCTCACTTGAAAATGTTGCAGTTACAACGAAACAAAATCTCAGCAGGGGAAGAATGGCGGGGATTTAAAGTGAGCTGTGGTTGGCTGAGCTGTTTGAAAGGCACGCAAAACTTCAAAGTCCAACACCTAAAGCCAACTTCATTTTACCAATTTCCACGGTCATCAGCCTACTGCTTTCAGGTTTGTTGACTAACATTAACTCCACTCAATTCAGTGTGTTATGTTAGCTTTTACACTGAAATCAGCTAAAATGCTTAGTTCTGATAAGCATTGCTAAAGTTATTATAGAGGTTATCATTAGCATGGAGTCCAATAATAACATATTCCACTCAGCATGCAAAAAGCATTAAATACAAGAAAGATTCGCTTAAAATCCTTAGTTTTGATAAAATGCTAAAAAATGGTGACCAACAGTATCCCCCTTTATTCAGCATGCAAAAAGCATTAAAAACGCAACCAAAATGAGCTAAAATGCTAATGTTAGCATAAATGTCATTTTTTTTAGATGCTAACAGCTGGAAGTTAGCTAACAATGACTTACTCCATGTTTTATTTAATAAAGTTATTTATCCATCCCCTGCAAAACTCTGATATTGAAAAGTTGTTCTTGATGAAGAACAGGGATTGTTTTCTCCTGTCAGAGTGATGCACCATTATTGTGTAGGACGTGGGTGTGAAAGGAAATGAGGAGGAATACAGCCAATAAAGACCTGCTGGCAGCATTTCTCCATCAGCCTCTCCTTACCTGCGACTCCAGAGCTTTCTTCTCTATAGTCATCTGCACTAAGGACACGTTCGTTCTGTCCAGCTTCTCCGTCGTCTGCAACACATAATGAGGAAACTTTAAAGAATCCACACCCGACTACAGCTGCAATGTTCAACGTATATTGGCACGCCTCAAAACTGTGAAAGAGAAGAATAATTATACAACGTGGCTTGAATTTGTTTCCAGAACTTCAAAGAACCATTTTTTTTTTCTGCAGCTACAGAACTAGACGTCTAGACACTGAAAGTTCTCCCCATTGTTCTTTCTCAATCCCATGCAAATTCAATGGCAAGCATAAGTATATATATACTTTCAAAATTGCCACAACAGAAGCATGTGTCATTTTCCTTCTACTTCCTAATTACAATCACTTTATGTTGGTCCAAACCAGAAAAATCCCAACAAAACAGAATGCAGTGTGTGGTGGTGGCGCGACACATGGAAAAACGTAAGGCACTGTAAATACTGTGAAACATAAGAGTATTTAAGTTTCCTTTTAAAGGATAAAATCTTCCTTCAAAAGTGATTGATATGATTTCAAAACATTTTTTACCCAGACTGTATTTTTTTTAGAACAATCCAAAGAGAAGTTTGAATCTACCTGCATGCATGTCTGCACTTCTACAACTGTTTACTTTTTTCGTTGTTTACTTTAAAAAAAAAAAAACCTAAGTGGGCGTAGAAAATAATTAAATGATTGTATTGAAACATTGTTAATTAATGTATTATGCTTAACCAATAAAAAAAAACAAAGAAAGAGAAAAAGCCATTCAGTTCTTAAATCATCATTCATCAGAATATATGTGTTTTTAATACACATTAAAAAATCTACAGTGCTCATGTAAGCATGTATAAAAGTGCTTATTTGCACAGCAAACAGACCCGTCCCCACATTTGCATCCTTGTGAAGACAACAGTACTTCTTCTTACCACAATACAGTAAAATCATATGTGGCAGCCGTCATAAAATATACATAAAATATTGAAAAGGACCTGCGCAGCGCAGACGAGTGAACAAAGCAGAATTTGAATATGGAGGCTGAATTCTATTCCTCACAGATGTAAATCCTTGTTCTCCTCTTTGGATTTTGGTCTTCACCAACAGAAGTATCTGACTTTTAAAAACGCTTTCCCATTTCCACCTGTGGTTGTTTTCACGTGTATGTGCTGACCTGTCGAAACAAAGTCATGTGAACTCCAGAAAGATATTTCTGCAGCTTGGTTCAAGAGTTGAACAGGGATTTTGCTTCAGGAAAAAAAAAATATACGAGCTCAACACATTAAAAGTACAACAAGCTACAAACCTTAAAGCCTCAGTCTTGTTCCGATTAAGGGACAGAGCAGCAGACATTATTTCACTTCATCATCCAATTGGAATGAGTTTCATAAAGCAAGAGCCGGAGTGTAAAAGCTCCGGCTTTAGGGAAGAAGAACGCCTCACTCTTTAATGCAGCATTTTCTACGTAGAAACCGTAAAAGCAGAAACTTCATGTCTGCATGGCAGCAGCAGCTCAGTGCCATCACTTTCAGCTTGAACTGCTTTTGTTTATCGACTCTCGCTCTCTCTGCACCTGCAGCAAGAATGTCTGCCATCTGCAGAAAGCCATGATAAAAGTCGAGATATAAATAGTAAATGAGCCGAACAAGAGCGCTCCGATAGTTTAGAGTTTATGGTGATGGAAATGCTGGCCACAGCTGATCCGAGTCAAACGCAAATTCTCTCCTTTCCATTCTGGTCTTCAAATGTCGTGGAATAAAGAAGAAGTTTTGCTTTTAGGACCTTTATGGCATTTGGGTTTCTTCTGACCTTTTGACCAGAAATTGGCATAAAAAGATGTCAAGTGACTGGATGATCAGGTTCCTTCTGTCGCAGGTTGGTATATCGCTCTGACTGTGACGTGACGCAAACTGAACTGAATTCAGAGCTGATTGTAAAACATTTTCCCACAGTGCCTTTACATAAACCAGAAACAGACTGCCTCTGCGAACAGGAACAGAAATGAGAGCACCGTGTGTGTTGGTAATGTTTTAATAACATCATAACAGCCTGATGGCTGTTCGCTTTAAAATGGTAGCGCTTTAATGCTGCTAAATACGCCTAACTAGAAATTAGTATGAATATAATATGGTCAAAGGCTGAATTTTGTTCTGCCAATTTATAAAAACTACTGTTTTTCCTAGTTAGGTTTATGCCACAAAAAGAAGAAATAACAGCTATAATCTTATTCATATTCTCCACAAACTCTGTTAAAGAAAACCTGATTCAGAGCTGTCCTGTAAAATGATTGGTTCCAGAGGACAAACAATAGCGACTAAGACATCTATGAGAGGAAATGTGAAGAGTTTGAATTTTTGGTGATTCAATAAACCAGGAGTGTACAATTAATCGACCGGTGTTAGTCAATTTTTTTAAACTATCGGTTTGTTAAATAAAAGTGGGCCGATATGAAAAACCGATTTTTATTTCCATCTCGTTGCTGTTTGTACTTCTGAAGAGGTTTGGTCATGTGATATTTGTTTTGAAATGAAATAATTTGGTAAATTTTGTTTGTCGGCTCCACCAGCAATGCAGATGTTGATGTCGGCTCAAATTTTCATATTGGTGCATGTTTTCTGAAACTATCTTTATGCAGACTTTGGATTTTTACTTCTTATGCATTTGGATCTGCAAAGGTTCAGTGGATAAAAAGCAACTTTCAACAACAGCACCAAATCACATTTGTTATCATCAGGAAATCAGTGCTGAATTGACTTGAAATGAAATGTACTGAATGTATTTGATAACTCTGCACCAGTAAAGAAAGAGAAACCAACAAAATAATATGTTGACTATCTTGGTCAAACTTGTGAAAATAAACTGGATCAAACCTTCTTTGAAGTGGTTCAAAAAGTGCCATCAATAATTCCAAATATGACAAATAAATCATATAATTCTGAACACAAAGCATAGAAGTAGACATGGATACGAGAATATTCAAGTCATGTATTGTACATTGTCTCTGGTGATGAAACACCGCAATCAAAAAGGATATTTTCTTTTAAAAGTGGCTCATAAATTAGTAGCAAACAAATCAAACCCAGAAGAAAACAATCACTTAAATTGTTTGTTTCTTCTAAATCCAGGATGTTGAGGAAAAGTAATGGATTTCATTTTGCCACAGAGTCCATATGCGGTGCTACCTTTGTCAGCTGGGACCTCAGCTCCACTTCTCTGCTTTGGCTTTGGAGGACCTTCTTTGACTGCTCCACGGTATTCTCCAGCTCTGTCAGGGAACGAAATACACTGTCAGTCAAATGAGACAAAGAAGAAAATCGATAATTAATCGCATACTGCAACCAGCAGACAATACAAGTGGTATCTTTACCTTTCATGGTCCTTGCTATGGCCCTGTTCTCCTCCTCAGCAACCTCCAGCTTGCATCTCTGAAATGCAGAACCATCAGCAGTGATTACATGCTACTCACTTAGACAGCAGCATTCCTGCACCTTGAGCTAACTGGGAAACTTGAGGAAATAATGACGAAAACGAGCAAGATTGTGGATAAAATACCTTTGTTAATGAGGCTACTTTCACAATGCCCACAAGCAAAACACCTTATGCTAATAAACGTAGGCCTGGGCAAAGATTCAGTTTTTCGACACAAAACAAAAAGGCAGTTCATTAATGTTTGCTTGCTAGCTAATCAAAGCAGACAAACCAGAGTCGTACTAAGTTTGTGGATCAGTCATTATTTACTTTAACCATATGTTTGCCATGTTCTGGTTTCTAAAAGATTGAAATGTCAAACAAAACGTTGAAGCTGCCTGGAAGGTGCTCAGGTGATTACAAAAGATTGCTGCATATTTCAGGAAGCATCGAGAAGTCCAGCCCAGGGTCTCAGAGCAGACACCATACATTTTATTTATCCTCTATTTTTTTTTACTTTGCAAACTGTTTGTGTTTTTCTTCCACGGCTCAGTGGGGAGCACAGCTCATAATTGCTTGGTATGGAAACTGTTCAGCGGAAGCAGCAGCAGCTGTCGAGGGAATCCAGAGAACCATGCACATGGAGAGTCCAGTAAGACAAAAGAATTACTGAGAAATGGAGACCACAGAATTGTTGAGCACTCCCATCTCCCCAATGTAATCCAGACTTTGGGATAAGAGAAACTCACAGGATTCAATAACATCAAAGAGGTTTAAAGGGGTATATTACATGTCTTCCAGGCATATAGTTTCATTTTATGGCACAGTCAAGTAGCGATGTTACAACAATTCTCTATACATCAAATATAACTTCAAATTAATTTTACTTTGTAACGCAATGCCTTGAAATTAGGTCTCTGTGTCTTTAAAAACTCCTGCGCTTTCTGAAACTCCGCCTTCAGGAAGTCATCTCAACATGGCTCCTGTTTTAACCCTTTGACAATGTTTTACCAGGGTTTCACTCAGGCGTAGCTCCTATCATGAGCTCAACAGATGTGCATTTTCACCAGGTGTTTGACAATTACTACTGGCTAGTCTGAAGGAGCTGAGTGAGGGAGTCACAGAGGAGGGGCGTTCTGTGAGGCAGAACCTTGGAGGTGGGGCTAGGTCCATCCAGGCGTTTTGCACATCTGAATGGTTGCCATGGGAGATTAAAGGATTTGTCAAACATGCATGAAAGAATCAAGGCAATACTCCAGGTGTGTTTTTGATGAGGAAATATCATAAAATGATGTAAAGCTTAAAGAAATTCTAATTTGGACGTCAACATGGACACGTCTGAGTTACACCTGGGAGAGCCTGCTGAAAACTCTCCTTTTGATGAAAAATAATCACACCTGGTTTCAGCAAGCATCAACATCTCCAGAGGTTCTTCACTACTTCTTCTTCTTACCAGACTGGACAGCTGCTGCTGTAAAGACGTCCTGTCTTGCAGCGCAGACTGAAGCTCCTTCTGTTTGCGCTCCAGGTCGACGCTCAGCTCACTGATCTGCTTCTCCTGGCACTTAACCTGGGTGTTGAGGCTGCCAATCTGCTGCTGTGACAGAGACACGGCGTCCTCCTTCTGCTGGGACGCCCGCAGTCGGAGCTTGAAGTCCGCCACCTCCCTCTCCAGCTCCATGATCCTGGAACGCTCAGACACTGTGGCAACCTGCGTGGAGGTCGCACAGGACGCACCGCTGAAGAGATTAAAAGCACTACTGCCTCTTGACTCAAATAGGTCTAAATGCTCGAGTACTTTTGGGTTTTGCTGTTTTGTTTTTTTATTCTGGAACATCTATGAAATAAAGATTTCGGTGTATAGGATGATATAGGTAGATAATCTGTGAAAAATAACTGAGCTCCTCTGATTCTACTTTAAAATAGAAATTTTTGAAGTTTTAAAAATATACAAGATGAACAGTATCAAAGAAATCTTGACAAATACAAATTTGAGTTACTTGTTTTTCAGTATGAAATACCACCTTGATCTGAGAACCAATCAGTAAGTAGCAAGAGGTCAAAGGTATTCAAAGCATAAAAGATGTCGTCTACATTTGTCTTAAAGCCACCAAGTCCCACATAATTGTTTTGGAGATCTCCAGTGATCTTTACAGCATTATTAGAAAAACTTGATCTGACCAGTTCCATCAGGCACTTGCTAATTGCAGCTGACTAGTCTGAAGGGGTTGAGCGGGAAAGTTTGGAAAGTGCAGCTCTGTGGAGGAGCTGTGCCCATCCAGCCATTTTGCACAGCTGAATGGTTGCCACGGGAGATCTAGGTATTTCTTAAACATGCATGAAATAATTAGATAATTAGACTCCAGATATGTCTTTGATGAGGGAATAACATCATAGCATCATATAAAGCTAAAAAAAAAAAGTCAATTTTTCTTACACTACCCATTTAAAGGTTCTTAATTGCAGGTTAGAAAAATATTATTTTCAAATTTTTTCTTTTTCATGTTCATATATGATTTTATTATTTATTTATTTATGCATTGTTACATCAAAGCCATTTCCTGGCTTTGGAACTTGTTTACTGGAAATGGCAGTAAAGTGATTCGGATTCCTATTTTATCTATTTTTATTAAAGCTCCGTAAATGAATAATCAATAAAAATTGTTATCAGCAGATCAAAGTTTCTCCAAAAGCTGGAGGTTGGAAATCAGACTAAACTCTCACCAGTGTGTCTCTCCATATACACTCTGGAGCTTTCTTGTGAATTTGGTTCAAAATCAGAAAATTATTTAACAGAAAATAGAGATAATTAATCATTTGTGGAGGACTTAAGTTCTTATGTGGGATTTGCTGGCAAGAAGAAAATGCCACCAGCCATATTTCTTGGCTGATCTTGAGTAGGTCATCTCCAAACAATATCAGTTTAAACTCATGCACACATGCATATTGTTCAGATAAACCTGGGTTATAAAGAGAAGCTACATGCAGATGAGTTGTTAATGTTTCTCCGCCACAACGGTGGACAATATCCACAGGGCCTCGACGCTGCAGCTCTCCTAGCATACGCTGTGCATCGTTAATAAACCCGGTGGGGAAAGGGCCATGACTCAGCCCTGGTGTCGGACTGCGGGTGCCAGCATTACCCGAGTGTCCTCTAAATCCCTCTGGAGTTTTTCAGCTTTGGTCTTTTCAAAGAGCAGGCTCTGCTCAAGATCCTTTATGTGGGCATGCTCCAGCCTGGTCTGCGTCTGTTAGTAAGAGAGAGCAGGAAGAGAAGGAGAACAAACACCAATGCAGCGCTCACATGCCAGCTTTGTGCGACACAGAGAAAAGTATGCTTTCTGAACAAAGAGCGCAAAGTGAAAAAGAAGATTCTTTTGCAGCATTTTGGGTTTTTTGTTCTCGATTAGAATGACTAATCTGCTCAATTTTATTCATTTATCTTGCGTTCAGCATAGGAACCCAATTCAATTTGTCTCTAGTGTTAAACAAAAAGAATGCAAACAGCACAAGCACAGCTAAGGATGAAGGCAAACAGGAGAGGTGAAGGTAAAAACTTCTATGAACAGGCATGAGGATGAACAGATGGCGGAAGGACGACAACATCAGTGAAAGATGGGAGAGACATCTGAGAAGAAGAGTAACCCAACTCCGGGATGAATAAATAAAAGGGGTGGTGAGTCTGAACAGGATTCACAGAGTGTAGGAAAAAGAGAAACTTCAGTCTGACTCTTTTTTTTTTCTTTTTAAGGAAAGTGAACCCTCAGGTGGACATCCATTAAAATAATGTTTAAAGCAGAGCTAAATGACACGGGCTTCTTAAAAACTCTGACATATTGTCCCACTCTGCCATGTGAAGAAGTGTATTGTATACCTCCAGGTCTCCTTTGGTGATGCATGCCTCCTCTACGCGAAACTGCAGGTCTTCCACTTTCCTGTCATAAATTACAATATTGTAATAAAAAAAGAACATCAGGCAATCTGAATTATTAGTTTAACAACCTTAAACTGAACCATAACTCCCATCTAAAATGTGTTTTAAGGAGTGAGTGAGATTCTCATCATTTTTTTTGCTTGTTTAATTTACAATATACTTTTCTTTTGTGCCAATGTTTTCCTCAAACTCAGATTACATCGGAATAGAGACAATTAATTGTGACTGAGCCATACTGAATGTGGACTGAATTTCATTTATTTATTTTTTGTACAGTAAAACTTCGAGGGCTGCCATTTCTCATGAAGTTGAATTTGTTACATAAACTAAAATGTGACTGAACTCTTAATTCAATCACTGTCAGCAACCTAAAGAGTTAAAACATTTTAATAACAGGATAAACACTGAGAAAAAAAACTTTGCTGTGATGAGTTTGGCAAACTGAATACTTGTTGCTGCTGCTGTGGATTTAACATCCACATTACTATCGCTGCACATGAACAGCGATAGTAATGTGGTTGAAGAAGGAAGGACCCACCTCTTCTCCTCTTCTAGTTGGTTGAGTAGCTCCACCTTGTCTCGATCAGCGGCCTCCACCATAGAACGCAACTGATCCAGCTTGGCCTCCATCTCCAGTGCGTACTGTGAAATACATGATAAGCTGGAAGAACGCCAGATATTGAACAGAGCACCCTGAGATGGGAGAGACATCTGAGAGGCCACAGACGTTGCACAGTGTTGAAAAACAGCCAGCTATCCTCGAATGTAAATACAAAAAAGTTTGAAAAATCTGATTCTTACATGAATCACATGATGCCACAGTAGTGGGATTCATTCATTGTGATTTTAAATAAATGAATCAGATTTGACATGAATGTTAGATAAAATATTAAATAACCAAAAATTTGGAGTTCTGCTGGCAATTAGTCTGGGATGCTTCTTTAGCTATTTAGGGATAAAGAGGGATGATTACATATACACATCTAACTAAACTTTTGGGCTTTCCTTGTAACAAAAAATTCCTTTAACCTATGAAGTTAACAGTTTTCAATATAAAAAAAAAATTAAGGCCCGAGGAAACATTTACAAAGAACTGTGTATTCCTTGAGATATTAAATGAAATTGGATTCAGATATCCTTATTTTTACTGTGAGGTAAACATTTTAAGTATTTATATTTTGCTCAACATTTTTTGTAATAAAATCTACAATTATTTTTTTGTTAATACTTGTTCTTTTGTAAGAGTGCTAAGAATTTTTCTTTTTCCACACAGCTATCTTTTCTCCGTGCTCCCTCATTACATATAACACCTCAAGAAATAAACATAATGGATGCTGCTTGCTTTTATAACCCCACGGTTAAAGGATGCATTACCAAGCATAGAAAACAGGAAAGAAAACACGTTTATTTTTCAGGTTTTCTGGAAATTCCTTTGATCCAGTGCAGAGCGCTCACCTGATCCCGCCCTTTCCTCAGCATTGCCAGCTCCTGCACCACCTCTCCGGCGCGGCTGGTCGCCTTGGCGACCTCGCACCTCTCCAGGTCCCTCTCTGCCAGCAGCTGTTCAATGTGCTGCTGCTTCTCCTTCAGCGCCTCCTGCAGCGCCGTGGTGCTGGAAATCTTGCGAGCGTACCGCACAGATGTTTCTGTCAGCTGGAAGACAACCCAAACACGCTTCGTTTTCTGAGTCCGTAGACATTTGTAAAGTGAACTGAATAAAGTTTATATTTATTTTTTTATTTTTTGGAGTGAATAAAGAGAAATAACTGTTACACAGGTCCAATTAAAACCATTTCTCTGTGTATATTTTTGCAAGCTTTAACAAGAAAGTGGTATCTATTAACGTTTTAGTTAGTCAGATAACGCCTTTACATCTTTTTATTTTTTTTATACCAGATATTTAAACTGCGTTCCATTTAACATTCAGCTAAGACAAAAGGGAGACATGAAAGCTCTACGTTGCACTGCAAAATCATATCAATCTTACAAAATATTTTTTGTCTAGTTTCTAATGAAAATATCTTAAGCTTGAAATAAGACAACATTCCCTTACAAGAAACTTTTCAGAAAAATATAGGAGCTTGTTTTAAGTCAATAATTCCTTAATATTGATGAAAAAGTACCAGACAGATTATTTATCATATAACACGGGGAAAATGTCTCGTTATGAGTGAAATAATCTGAAACTAGAACTTTTTCACCAATTACTGACTTAAAACAAGTTCTTCTTTCTTGCTGAAAAGTTAGTAAACTTACTTTGTAAATGAACTAAGACATTTGCACTAGAATCTAGACCAAAAAATTGTGCTTTTGCAGCATAGGTTTGTAATTCTGCTTCTATATCCGCGTGAATGTTACCAGTCCCGCCCGGCTGGGCTTGCCGCTGATGGAGGAGGTGGCCGAGCTGAGGGAGCTGAGGGAGGACGCGCTCGGACTCCTCTTGAAAGTGGAACTCCTGAGGGAGTTCTTCACCTTGGTGGGCGTGGTGCAGGGGAAGCCGATCCGTGTCACCTTGTGGACGGGAGCAAACAGGCCGTACCTGGGCAAGCACTGAAAATACCTGGGAGGAAAACAGGTTGCGCCTAGCCGTCAGTTTGGCTGTGCTGGATGAACTTGCTGTGCGTTGCTTGATTTTCTTTTATGTTTTGTTTATGGGAAGATAGAAGATAGAAGCAGATTTTTGGCTGGTGAAGATGAGTGTGAAGTCTTTAAATTTATTGCAATTAAATGCATGTTAAGCAACAGAATACGCAAGATATTTGCTGTTTTTAATCGTTTACATTATCCAACCACCAGATTAGTGCAAAGTGCTATTATATCCACAGAGTTTTCAAGGGTTCTTTGGCACTGAAAGCTTTGCAGCAAATGATCTCCCTGCTCCATTACAGTAAAAAGAAGACAAGTCCAAAGAAAGGAAGTTCCATTGGATAAATTTTACAGGCCAGAATAAAAGCGATAAGCTATATTTACTTATATGCATAAAATAGTATCAAAATACTAAAATCAATGCACATATTTGCACAATATTTATTTTTTCTGATTGTACTAATTTACAAGAAAACTATTTTACAGCATATGACTGTGATAAAAGAAATATTTTTCATTTGACAAAATCAAATGGACTTTGCAGACCTCCTCACTGAATGCCTCATCAAACACACTAGTCGTAAGCAGAGACAGAGTTCCCATGCATCGGTCCTCCTCACCTGGCCCCAGCTACAGCTCCGTCATTCTTGCCCAGAGGTTCGTCCAGCTCCACGCCACACCACTCTCCCTTTGCGAAGTCTGTTTCTCCTAGAAACCGCACCACTCCCGCTTTTGTTCCACCAACCTGCGCGGAGAAGTTGTAATAACCGAAGTTACTTTTAGAATGAAATCATACAAAAACAGATGTGTTTGTGACAGGTTAGCTTAAGCAGTATGTGGAGAGGAACGGCTCCACGAACTGCTGTTTATGGTCAGTTCAGTTCAGCATCTTTCTTACCAAAACGCGGTCTCCCAGCCTCAGCTCCTGTCTGACCTTCTTCAGAGAGTCGGGGTCAGACAGATTGGACACAGACTCGGTGGAATTAACCGTACGGTTCAGGACACCACTGGCCTTTACACCGGTGACTGGAGCTGGAGGAGAGGAAATATTTTTCAACTGCAAGACAAAGGAAAGTACTAGAGACGGAATCTTATTAGTTACGTTTGGCTCTACATTTCCAGAAACTCTAAATATACAGCCATTACTAAAATGAAACAATTTATGGCAAAGTTTATTCAAAGTCAAGTTTAAAATCCAATTAAGGCCAAGGCTGTAAAATAAATGCTCAAAGAAGCTTGTTGTAGTTGTAGCTTGACAAAATGTGGCGAAAAAAACCCAAAAGACATTCAGTCTGTTACCACTAGGGGCAGCGACAGCCGGTGTAGCCTTGCTTGCTGCGTGGGCTGCTTGTACCGGGCTGGCCTGCCTTCCGTTGGCCTCCTTCTCTGGCATTGGCGTCCTGGACAGCTTGGAAGATCGTGTGAAAATGCCCCGCCCATTCTCACACTGGAAGTAGCGCACGCCCGCTACCGACCCGTCGTTCTTTCCGATGGACTCGTCCAGGACGATGCCCGCCCACTGTCCGGGAGCAAACTGCGTGCCGCCGACAAACTGAACGTAGCCGGGCTTGCTGCCGTTCACCCAGACTCTGTCGCCGACCTTAAAGTCTGTGTGGACATCTTGTGTTGGAGAGGTCACACCTGACGAGGACTTTTCAGGAGGAACTGGCTTTGAAGCACCTGGAAGAAAAACATTGACACAGATGTTTTCCTCTTTGAAAGCACTTTGAATAAACTTGTTGCAACACAACTGTAGCTTTAAAATGTGGGTTTTTGGTTGATACCTAATTGCACTTTGGCAGCAGTGATTCAATAACATGCAACACCACGCAAACGCTTTGTCTGCACTGACGAAGATTCACCCAGAGCCCGATGCTTACATGTAGAAGTGAAACTGATGGCTTTTTGATTCATTTGACCAAGAAGTATCAAACTTCTCGGAGGCACTCGACAAGCATTACAATATCACTTTCAGGTGAAATTTATTCCAATTAAATATGGAAGAAAAAAAAACACAGTACAACAAGACTGTAACAGCAAAAAGGCATTTGATTATCTCTAAAAGTTTTCCAAACTTGGTATTGTGCTAACATAACTTTATGGTTGGAGAATTATTTGAGTATTATTTGATCAGCATCAAAGATATTCTGACAAACTCTTACCAGATGACGGGGAAGTCTTAGTTGGTACTGCGGATGGACGGGCTATTTTCGTGGGAGGCTTTAGCCCACTTGATTTGCCTGGGCAGTGACGGGGCCCTGTTTGTCCATGGTTGGGGGACTTGATCAGGATGGGGGGACACGGCCTTTCCCCACCACCCCGGTCACCCTGTGTCTCAATATGACTGAAGGAAGCTGGGAAAAACACACAAACCCGAACATGGAAATCAACCCAAAAAGTGCATAACATCTTTCAATGCAACCCACTAAAAATAATAATAGCAATAGCAAAAGTAATAATAATATCACTTTAATCATATTGGAAGTGTAAGTTTGTAATGTGCATGTTATGAATTAAGGTTAGCATGAATTTGGCCTTTAAGCTGAAATACTATAAGGATACAAGACAATTATTTTAGTAATTGAATATTTTGACAATCAATCGTATTAAAAATGGCACTTTCTGCCATTTCACCACTTAAGCCTTTTTACACAATATTAGAAATAAATTAAATGTTGCAAATAACCAAATCAAATACATATTTGAATGAGAAAACTACAATTCTGCAATGCAATCACATAACTGATTATTTTGGGATTAATAATTGTATAAATAAATGTGCATACTGGTAATAGAATTTTTATTGACACAGAATTTGTACCAGATGAAGCTAAAACTATCCCACTTGACTAGAACATACTTACAGACAAAGAAGCTTCTAGACTGTAAATGCAAAAACGTATACATTTTTTGTACCAGTAATTAATTCAGTAATTACAGTACTTAAGTAATGACTTAATTACTATGTTGTTCTTTCAGTAAATGGCCTTTTTTAGAGTCTATGCAGTCCAGTCAACAATGAATCAGTCACTGAAATAATCATCAACTAATTTCGTGTTTGATTGGCCTAAATTAATTTGATTAATTGTTTCAGCCTTAAAATAGTTACATTACTAAAGTATTCATACTTCTTGAAAGTTTTTATATTTTGTCACTTTAACATTTTAAAGCTAAACAAATTTTCCTGGAATTTTTTTGTGACAAACAAAAACAATGAAGTCCATATTTGTGAAGTGGAAGGAAACGCTATACATGGTTTTTAGTAACTTTACAAATAAAAATGTTAAATGTGTGCAAAATAATAATGAATAACAGTAATTGACAACATATAACGGATAATATAAGACCTCTTTCGCAATCCTCTCTTCACAGAGCGATAAATCATGCCAGTGTTTTGATGCCAAATGCTGCACAACCCATAAATACTGTCTGAAAAAAATCTATTTGCAATAACCAGTAAATAAACGTGAGGTCCTACAGCACTCATGCTTGGTGTTCAGCTTGCATACAGTAGGTGGTGAACAGAAGCCTTACCACACAGATGACTCACGCTGGCTGAAACAACACACTCTGTTTCACACAATTCAGCATGGATTACATTTAAGTTCGAGGAAAATTTGAACCATTTGACGCTTTTCATAAGGAGAGTTCACAAGATATAAATGCCAAAAACACAATCAAGAATGAATGGGGGTTTAGTTTGCACACCGCTGTAGCAAATTTATCTTTCAAGTGTGAAAATGTTTTACTTGGCACACTTCTGAATCTTAGTCGTTGTGTTTTAATGCCCGGGGAGATGCGTCACAGATTATTGTTTTCATTTACATTTGTCCATAACTTGTCAGAAATCTTCCGCAAGCAACAACAGAAAAGTCTGCAAGGCATAAGCATTTCTTCTTGAACTTCTTTACTGCGTAACCGACTTTCATTTCACTTTGAATTTGTGTCTTCTACCTGTCTTTAGCTGTCATCAGAAAGTGAAATGAAACATCATTCAGTTGGCACCAGCAGACTGAAATGCTTAACTTCCAGCTTCCAAAAGTTCTTGAACTGACCCATCTTTAAGGTACAGTTTGGATTACACTTGCCTTTTGAAAAGCTGTCCAATTCTGTGGCAAATCTCTGAATTTGAGCGTACATACATACGTATGAGACATAATGAGACATGGTGGTGGCAGCATCATTGTGCAGTTGGGGTGCTTTTCGTCAGCAGCAGCAGAAAAGCCTAGTCAAAGTTTTTTTGGGGGGAGTCTCGATGAAGCTTAATACAGGGCAGTCTAGAAGCAGGAAGAAAATGTTGCAGGAAGATGTATCGCTTTTTCACAGATTTCCATTAATATTAGCCATATTTATGCAGTACATTTTGTGGATTAAAATGTACTGTCCAATGAAAAGGGGGCGATCCTCGGATGTAACATCACCAAGGCGGGTCTGTCTCCCCTCCCAGTCAGACCAAAACAAACACACCTGCAGCTGTCAAACACCAGCACGAGACTTCCAGGGCTCTCTCACGCCCACGCTCTTTTCTGTCTCCATCTTCACACTGTCACCCACAAATGAGAGCATTTAGCCAGTGGACACATAACGAGGCTGGCCCGGATTGTTGTCGGTTACATCTGGGTTGGGCTCTGTCTTTAAAAAGAGCTCCAGCGGGATAACTTTGCGGCAAAGCGCTACATCACTTCCAATAAACTCTCCGCGATCTCACTGAAACGTTGCCAGCGTACTGCGGTTTAAAGAAGTCATTCGGCGGTTAAAGCCACGGCGCAAACTGTAGCGTTGTTATGATTAGCTAAAGCCTGAATTCCAGCCTGCTGCTGGAATGCCAAAGCTAGCCGCTAGCTCCCAATGAAGCGCTGATTACTAGTTAATGTGAGACAACTAACCGCCCAGTGACGGGGTGTTCCAACAATTCAGGCAGACAACGGCGGAAAGTTGCTCTGCAGACTTACTTGGTCTGTTTTTTTTGTGAATTGAGTCTCTGTTAGGGCTGTGGAGGGAAGGTGCGGCGTACCTTGCACCGTTACATGTTTCTCCAGCGGCTCCCGTTTCCCTGCCCAGCCCCGACTGTCACAGTCTGACGTCACCCTGAGAGATGATGCTGGGTTTGAGGACACGCACAAAAACGGACACCTCAGCTTCAGACCATTTTCCAAGTCATTTATAAATGACGATTGAAGGCAACATGTAGCTACATTTTTAGTTTCCAGAATATAACAACTGCCACTCTGGAATACATTTGTTCAAATAAAAAGAATTCTCTTTTGTCACCCCCTTCTATAATTCTATTTTTAGTCTACTCCACTTTTGTGTGTTTTGCAAACAATCATGTACTAAATATAAAACTCATATCACAGCAAGTTTTACTGAAATTTTGGAATTTTTAATATAAAATGCGAGTTTTGGAAACATCTGAAGTTAGTCATGTTCTTTGGGAACAACATGTAGTGATTGGGAAGGAGCCGAAACATAACTCTGAATTAATCAATACTTGCTGGTGTATCTTGTGAAATTTGCCTGAAAAAAAAAAAAAAAAAAAAAAAAAGGGAAAAAATAAATAAATAAGATGTAAAATTAGGTTGCATAAGCAAACACACTCTTAATTTAACTTTGAGTATTTTTTGATCGTACTTCAGCTTTCAGTCTCACACTAGCAGTCTGTCAGCGTCCCCACATCTCATCTTGGCAATAGTTTTCCAAATTTATCAGCTCTCTTGACCAAATCTTCCAGATTTGCTATCAGACTCAGTTCTTGACTCCCGATAGTCTCTTTTGAAGCTCCTTGAATCAAAATATAACGTAGCTGCATATCACATATGTGAACAAAGATTTGACAGTGGATCAAATTATCCCTTTTTTTTACTTCACAAAAACCTGGCATTTTAACATAGAAATAAGTTCATTTAAGAACTTTTTTTAATTTGAATTAAGGATTCCACAATTTGCTTACATTTATTTTTTAAAACATTTTATTTATGTTGGAAGTATTCCCTGCAGGCAAAGTTACAATTAGTATAGTTACATTCCCTTCATCCACCAGGGATATTGCCCTTTCTTCTTCAACAAAACTATAATAGAAAAATAATTACAACAAATACAATGATTCACTACTTCTCTGAGTTTCCATATTTCAGCAGCAACCTTTCTTTCCTTCTCACATTTAAAACGAGTATTAGGTATAGCAATCAGGGAAGGGGAACAATTCACACTTCAACATATAAAATGGATCCATTCAGAAACGTAGGCTTAGTGAAATAAATAGTAAAATTTAAAGCCGTGGAAAAATGAATGACATTTATTTTTGGAACTGAAATGAGGGAGAATGTGAAAAGAATAACTTGTCAACAATTACATTATGGACCCTGACCCAGCAACCATAATAAATTTCAATATTTTCTTATTAAACTTACAATATGGAAGAAAACAATCACTTTCAGCACAAATGTCTTTTTTGTGTGAAAATGACACTCCCAGTCATTAAGTTGCGGTCGATTCATTTCTCATGTTCGCTTTACATTAAATTTTTCACTGATTATATAAACACTAATAAAGCACTCAACCTAAAAGCAAGGCAGTCCTGTTTTCAACCATAGTGACTCCAGTGTTCGAGTTTTAAATGGCAGAGGTTGGAGATGCTTATTGTTGGATGAAGTCACAAGTCTTCAACCTTCAGCAGATTTTTTTTCATCAAATTGGAAAAAAAGTCAAATCAATGTATTACTTAATAAAAAGGCAAAGTTTTATAATTACTTTTATTATGAGAATATGCTTATTCTGATTAGGTTTTGTTGCAGCATAATGACACCAACATCCTCAGTAATTGCAAAACATATTTTAGCAAGAATTTCATCTGTAGGCCTATCTATTACCCGTTACATAAATATTATATATATATATATATACTTAATATATATAGATGCATAAAAATCAATGAGATTTTGAAGATTGGATTTAGAAAATATGTGTATCGTGTAAAGCATGTTATTAAAATGAAGAGACTTCATTTTTAGAAAGCCTCAGACAGTAGAATAAAATGTTGAAGTTCAGGAGGACATTTGAGTGGTGTTCAACTTTATCCACGATTCACGCAAAAGAAAAAAAAGTTACAATGACGTTATCTCGCTTAGAGCTTCACTCCCGCTGAATGGAGTCGATTACTGTCACCAAACAACCATCAGCATTTACTTTGGATCTTATCGTCAAACGCTCTGAATTGCTTCATATTTCTATTTGCTTACCGACTATTTCAACTCCCGCAGTTCCAGCTTCACGGGGAAACGGCGGGGAGTCGAGACGGTTCCTGAAACCATAAGGGAAAAAAAACTAAACAAAGAACAAAACAACACTCAAAACCGCACGCGGGCTCAGAACCTCAGGACAAAGCAGCTCTCGCGCGCTCCGCTTAACGCCGTAGAAGAAAATCAAAAAATGACCACAAGTCTGCTACATATGAAGTGCGCTACTTTGTTCACCTTTTATTGCAGCTTTAAACTCCTAAAAAAGGAATTTCACTGCTGAAAAAGCAGTGAAAACGTTTTCACTGCTTGCCGTTTCCCGCGTTGAGCGGCTCTAGACGCCGTCCCGGTCCACGGTGGACACCTTGTTGTCGGATGAGTCCGCCGGCTCCTCGTCGCTCCTGCCCAGCAGTTTGTTCAGCACCTTTCTGAAGGAGCCGCTGAACGCCGGGCTGGAGAAATAGTAGACGACGGGGTTGAGGACGCTGTTGAAGTAGGTGAAGCACACGGAAGTGTAGAAGGCCAGGTTGGCCTCTTCGAAATGTCTGCACTCGTCGTGCCACACCTTCAGGATCCACACGGCGATGCGCGAGACGGTGCTGGGGAAAAAGCAGGTGATGAAGATGACAGCCACGGCCGCGACGAACTGAACGGCGCGCTTGATCTTCCCCTGTTTGTCCAGAGTCCTGTTCCGCAGCTGCCAGGTGATGCTGATGGTGCAGAACGCCACGATGGCGGTCGGCAGGAAAAACTGGATGACGTAAAAGGCGTTGTGCCAGGTGGAGAGCGGCGTGAAGCCCATGCAGATGTTGAAACTCTCGCACTGGGTGCGGTTGCTGTTGTAGAAGAAGTGCTCGTTGGCGAGAAGATACCCGGTGGCCAGAAAAATCAACCCCCAGGCCGAGAGAGACCCACAAAGCGTAGCCCAGGCCCAGGCGGTTTATGGGGTTCCGCGGGTGGACGATCTTGAAATACCGGTCGACGGCCACGGCAGTGAGGAAGAAGATCCCCGCCGCACGGTTGGCGGCCAGGAGGAAGAGCAGGATGCGGCACGGGATGTCGCCGTAGATCCAGTCCTTCCACGCCGGTAGTAGTCTGCTCTGAAGGGCAGGCAGAACAGAACGATGGAGTCCGCGACCGCTAGATGGGTGAGGTACACGGAGTTGGGCTTCCAGGTGTCCATGTAGAAGATGAACATCCCCAGAGCCAAGAAATTCCCCATTAATCCAAACATGAACTCCAGGATCAGAACTGGAGGCAGAACCCGGTCCAGGATGGGGGACTCAAAGGCACAACAGACGTCTGAACGGGAACTATTCATCTTCTGACCCACCAGTGATGAACAACAAGCAGCTCTGAGTGATTAAAGACGTGGTGCACCAGGTGTCTTCAGTTGAACAGCGAATCATGTTTGCACTTATGCAAAGGGCTCTGGACAAACATGCTAATTCCAAAGTGGAGCGAGCATCTGTGCACCGGCGTTATCTGTGGGGAAGTGGTGTTGACCCAAAGGAGCATTATAACAACTGTAAATGTTATCCGTCTGGGGATGGGCGCTTCATTAGAAAACTATTATACCTGGGAATAGGTTTACTCATGGGTGAGCAGTAAGTCGCAGGAAAAACAAGTAACCCGAGGTCATCTATGGGACTCTTAAAGGAGGCAATGACGACAAAGCCCACTCTGGAAAAGAAAACACTTAACGCGTCGAAAACATAAATGGAAAACCGACCTGGAATGAAGAGAGGAACAGCAGAACAGACGGAGGAGAATGAAATTTATTAGCCTACAGATTTGCTTGAGTGAAGAACATTTGTGAAGGACTTAATTCATACCACGCCTTTGGCAAACAAGAGAAAGCAGCTATTGACTAAAAAAAAAAACAAAATAAAAATGCAACTGCCGCCAAGTGAGTGGCCAAGTCCGCACCTTTTTATGTACAGTAAATAAAATAGGTATAAAATGACTTAATGTGTACATTTGGCCAGGTTGTTGTTGATGTTACAGGTCACATCCATCCCAGTGAAAGTGCATATTTGGTCTTTACTTCTTGACTTCACCCAGATCGTCGATGCTGTCATCATCCACCTATAGAGGGACAACGAGACTCAACTCAGAAATGGTGTGTTGTATCTGCAGATTTGCACAATAACCGTTTTCTAAAATCTTAGTTTTGTTGTGTGAAAGTTTATGCCTGATCAAATCCTGCTTCTGGAATTACAAACTAATCATAAAATAAAGGCTTACATTTCCAGATTTCTAAGACTAAGCCAGCAACCTTATCAAGCAAATGATAAACACTAACAAAACAAAACACACTTTGGCTAGGCCACGAATATGCTTTGATCTAAACTATTCAGTTGTGGCTCTGCACGTATTTAATGATCATTGTTCTGCAAAAAGCTAAATCTCAATCTCTCAAGTCTTTTCCAAAGCCTTATTGTTATAATTCACTAATCTTTTCTTAACCTACTTAGGCCCCGCCCACACAGAGGATTTTAGGTGCATCAGCAAAGAGGGTTTTTTTTTTTTGTGGTTTCGTCTATGTGTCCACATGGATCTGGCGTTTTGAGAGACCAGAATGATCATTCTTTGAAGCCGGGTTCCCCCATCTTGGTTAAATTTCAAAATGGCAGCTTTACGTTTGTTTGTTAAAATGGTGTGTTGTGGAAGATAACGTCTCAAATAATCATCAAGGTTTGCTTAAAATATTCTTTTGCACATTTTTCCCTTTTTAGTCAAAAATCTTTCGTCTCAATTGTCAAGATAATTTTGACTAAAGAAGTGCTTTACGACTTAACCATTTAAGTTTTTAATGTAAAGCACTTTACATTAAAATGCTTTACATTTTTTGTAAAACAGCATGTTTTACAAAAATTTTGTGTTACAAAACAGCATTTTACTGTTTGATAAAAGTTTATATTTGCTTTAAATCCTACCTTTTTGAAATCGTTTTAAATCTAATGTTCTAAAATACAATTTTAATTATTGTCAATTTATTATTTAAGTAAGCATGTCTGGTTTCTTTCATTTATATCCACGCACATTTATAATTTAAAATGCTAAGTTGAAACAAATCTAACACACCAAACCAGCCCTTTATGAATTTTGTTGTTTGAAATTGCAGTGCTGTAAGGTTTAAATCAAATATTTATAACCAGATGTGTTTGAATTTATAGATTAGATGACATTTTACCACACTTAAGTATAAAAACTCATGAAACTTTTTCCATGAAGATGGTTTTCTTACCTCAGGCCACTTTTCTTGAATGACGTCAATTATGTCATCTGTAAAATCTCCCTGAATGATTATTTCATCCTCGGCTGTAACTGAGGCACCACAAGAGAACTTCTGAGCAAAGAATCGCTGAGCCTCTTTAAGATCAATGTCTGCAGCAAAGGGATCAACATTTAGACAAACGTGCAAAAAAACGAACATCACCGTGCATAGATGGAGGAGGGGAGGCACAGGTCTCACCAAATGTTGCCAGGCCACACACTCGTGTCACGTATTTCTTCTTTGCTCTTGGAATTTTGGCTATTGTGACTTTCTGAGGCACCGTCTTCTTTTTCTGTTTAATTTGGCCTCTTCCGCCTGAAAATAAGAGGAGAATAAAGCAAGATTTGAGTTGCAGGCGTCATTGATCTCCATGCCGACAGCAATGGTGCTGAGAGATGAGAAACTTCAGGAAAGATGAACCCACGGGTGCATCATATCCAAAAACAGAATCAGTTTGATTGGGAAAGATTGTGCACGCAAGCAATGGATTTGACTTTGGTTGCAAGCGTTCACAGCACACAGACATTAAATATGAATATTTTGACCAGGGGTCTCCAAGATGGGCCCTCGAGGGCCGGCATCCTGCATGTTTTAGTTCTCTCCCTGATTTAACACACCTGGATCAAATGATGGCTCTTTAGAGGCCTAGGAAGAACAGTGACATTCTGAAAAGGTTGCCACTACCACCAAGGAGAGAACTAAAACATGCAGAATGCCGGCCCTCGAGGACCCACTCTGGGGACCCCTGATATAGACTAATATGTGAAGTTCTACCTCGTTTTTGCTTCTTCTTCTCCTCCTCTTCGCCTGTAGGGGAGCTTCTCCAGTGCCGGATTCCTGTTTGGGAGCATTTCCTGCCGGACCAGAGGGACCAAAGAAGCAAAAAGAAGAATTAAAACCAGCTTTGCAAAAATGATATTCTTCTACTAGAGTAAATATTGGCTTACTTTGAGAATCCTGATTAAGTTTTTTTCTTTTTTTTTTTACTTTGCTACTCCAATTGCTGAGGAATGATAATGAACATTTGTTTTTTTATTGTCAGGGGTGCACCAATAGCCTTAAAGGGGACCTTTACACAAAATATAAAGACCCATTTGAGTCTCAAAAGAACAACAAAATAATCTTTAACTGTTTTTTGGCAAGAAGCTATCAAGTTTTTTGGTGTCTGGAAAATTAGCCGTTTCAAAAACCTGAACGATAGGTCAAAAATTTACATGCATCGTTACCTAGCAAGCCAAGCGGGGCTCCAGCATGTTTGGTCAGCTGGTTTTACCACTTTATGCACTGTACAATGGCTGCTGGAAAAGATGAATGCTTTGTTGTTGACTTTCCCTGCCGAAATCACTTGCTGCACGCAAGAGGCTTCACTAATGCTTTTCAAAAATGCATAGTTACGCGTCTGTTTGCATCCATTTTCATATACGAGTGTAAACATTGAATTAAGGGGTGGGAGCAGCAGGAGCTTAATTGGATTTAAAATGACAAGGGGCCCTAAAAAAGCACTCAACATAGGCAGAACTGAGCAAACTAAAATCTCATCTCTTGTGCAAAAAAGTGTCATTAACTTGTTTTGCATAGCCAACAGACCTATCCTAACTTATCCAGAGAAACATAATAGGTCACCTTTCATTTGGAGTGAGAAGCAAGTACAAGAAACAAATCAAATCTCCCTCCACATAGGTCTCACAAATCAGCCAGTGTCCAGTTCTGCTCTGTTGTGGGAGAGTTCTGACTGTCAGACTCACCCACCAGGGCACATCTGCATGTGCATTCTTCAACTTGGAATTAGATTTACATCTAGGTGTATCTAAATACACCATCTTGCTCTGTACAAATTGGCTCGGTAGCCTAAAAAGTATCCAATAACAGAACTTCATTCCTTTCACTGCCATCCTTTACTGTAATGCAGCCCATAAGGGCAAGAGAACCTACACAGACCAAGCCAGTAATTTAGCTTTTAAAGCTACTCAAAACTGGTCTTTACACAGACTTCTAATCTATCTAACCGCCGTTAAGCTCTTTACATTTTAGGGGAGTGAAGAAAAAAAATCCACAGAAAACCTTGAAGGTACTCACCTACAGTCATCTTGGCAAACACATCTGGAAAGTTCTTCTCAAGCCACTGCCTACATTTGGCTGGCTCGGGCATGTACTCGCAGTACTGCGGAGACATGACCAGTTTTTACAACTCTCGAAAGAAATAAACTGCAGCCGCTTGTCTACGGTCCGCATAATGCGAGTGCAATGTCTGTCTAATGCTGAAACTCACCTCTGTAGGTAGGGAGCACACTGCAGGAAGAAAAACAAAAAACTCGAGTTAGAGGCCATCGAAATACGTCGCGATTACGCGACAGATTGAGTTTATCGATCGTACCTCCACAGTAAAGAACTTTAAGTGGGTATTTCGAATCGGGGTCCGACGATCCTTGCTCGGACCTGCTTTCTGTAGACCCAGATTCCATTTCAGTAGTAGCCATCACAAATGATCTGGGCAAGGTGAAGAGAAATAAGGAAGTGTGAGAAACAAGAAAACAAAGTAGCGTTGGCATGGCAGCTGATGTTTCACGTTGTGTTTATGTCCACCCTTCCCCTTCACCATGTCCTTTTCCTTTCCCTGACGTCACAACTTTGTCATTTTGGTTGAGCGTAAAGCCTCCATTTATGAGAAAACGACAATAAGGCCGTTGAAATAGCATCACTGTTTCACTGACTGAAATGAAGCCTGAAATGAGCTAAAAAGATGCAACCTTTACTGGTCAGCGAACGCATCATAGTAAGACATTTTAAATGTAAATGGTAGTGATTTTATGAGGTTACTCCTTACATATTTAGATATAAATTGAGAATCTGCCACATGGTTTAGAGAGCCTTCCTACATAACCTTAGCATCATACCAAAGTTCATTTAAGACAACATCAGGTTGAAATGAACAAACGACTCTTGAACATGTTGCTAAAACACCTACTTTTACACGCAGACAAGATTATGTTACGAGTCTAAGGTCACGTGTCCGATATTTAAATGTCACAGCTCGTAAAAAAACAGGTGAGAAGAAATATCCGATTTCCTCCTCAGACACTGGACCAGTCTGAATGAAGTCTCGATCTCCCCATTTTAACCAATATCTCAACATTTTTCCTTCCTGACACTCTGCTGCTTTATGTGGAGATTGTTTTTATTTTATTGTATTGGTTCAGCTCTCAGTTTAATTGAATTTGCTACACAGCTGAAGTAGCCTTAGCAGGCTAACACATGCGGCTGTTTTATGGGTGGAAAGCGCCGCTCAGCAGAGCAATGTGCCGACAGGTTCAACATCAAATTGCACAACTAAAGTCAGAAGTAATGTTGCCACTCCGGTCACTGCATAAATGGAGCTAAAACGAAACGCTACACGTCGCTTTGAGCGCTTTCATTCATCAGGTTACGTGGACTCACCAGCTGTCACCGTTAGCACCTCGGTTGAGTTTAGCAGGCTAGCTAAGCTAATGCAGAACAACGACTCACTGCAGCTGAAAAAAAAGTGAATTAAGACGCGGAAAACGGGGCCGGTCCCTACCTCGCACAGTAAACTCTTAAAACTGCTGGTTCAGTAGAACATCCGCTCGCATTATTAGGGTCAGTCCCACTTTTACAATGTCATTTTCACTGAATAAGGTTTAGTTGGCATACTTCGAGCACGCCTTGTTACGCCTCTTGTGAGAGGAGTCTAGCCAATAATGTGTAGCTGCAGCCTTTCGCTCCACTCTCAGACCCCACACCGCTCCCAGGCTCCGGCAGCCGAAACCCTTCCTGGTTCATGCGAGGATTTGCTTCCGGTTCGCGCCTGCGCAAACGCCTCGTGGTGTTGGGGTTCACTGACACGATGACGAGCTATTATTAGTTTTATTGAAAGTGGGATTTCAAATGTGTAGATAAAGGTTGGGTTTATGTTAAGGTCATGCGAGAATTCGCATCCGGTTGGCGCATGCGCAAAACTCCACTGGTGTTTATTAAGGTTCACGATTACCACAATATCAAACAATGCTTTATTAACCGGATCTGTCAGTGTAGGTCGAAGATGGAATTTAAAAGATGTAGGACAAAAATTAGGTATATGTGGTAAAAAGTTAAGAATAAATATAATATATATATATATATATATATATATATATATATATATATATATATATATATATATATATATATATATATATATATATATATATATATATATATATATATATATATATATAATAATACAAAAAATCACTCAAATAATGAAATCCAAGGACATCAACTTGTAACATTCAAAAGCATGGAGATAAAAAATTGACATTTAGCTAAAAAGTGAAATCCCAAATTTGTTCTGAAGCGTCGTCCATTTCCAGAAGTTTCCAACAGACGGACACAGACAGAGCATTTGTATGACTTTTATTAAGAAAACAATACAATTTGACATGATAAAAACAAAACCAAGCACTACCCATGGAATAAATAAGTCAAACCAAACCATAAATCTGTACACGATCTAAAGAAAAAATGGTCCCAAGGGAAAAAAAAAAGTTTTTTTTTTCATCTCACAGCTCTTTTTTTTCATTTTTCTTTTTACAGACAGTTATGAGCAAACTCTAAATCAATCGGCTCAATCAAGTGAACGCTACAACATAAGTGAGAATTTGTTTTTCTTAAACTGAGTGTACGTGTAATGCTGTTTATAACTGTTAATGTCAATACAATAGCATTTTTAAAGTTCCAGCTCTGCTGGATTGGGAATGAGGTATATGCTAATCCGCCCTCTGAACCGAGACAATGTTTGAACTCCTTCCTCTCCATCCGCGTGAATGCTGATTTGCTGAAAATCTGATTCTGGGTTGTAAAATGCATCGTAGCCCCGTCCCGTCACGGTTTGCAGTGATTCAGTTGATCTAAATTCATTCAGGATTGATTAATGAAAGTAAATCTGAACATGAGTGAGGTTTTTTTTTTCTTTTTCTTTTTTTATATTAGAGGTCGTAGGTCTGAATCCGTACTTTAAGGTTCAAGTAAATTGCACTAATCAGCACACAGTCAGGGGGCACTATGCCACGTGCGTATGGATTCAGCCGACAGACAGCACCTTGAAGGAGGATTAAAACCAAATGTTTGAGCAAAAAATAAAACAACAAACAGAAAAAAAACAGAGACTGGACCTTTAGTGGCGAGCGGCACCAGCATGTGTGGGTCACAGACGAGTGGTGACACGGAACCAGTACAGGGAAATAAGACCATTAGATGCGAGTCGACGGTGATGTGGAAAGAAACGGGAAGTTCTGATGGATGAGGTTTGCAGGTGCTCGAAGGAATGACCATGATCAACTTCTGGGTAGTGTTAAAACCTAATTTTGACGCGTTTTATAGGAGTAGTACTTCCTTGCTGGGAGGAAAGCGAGCGGGCGGATGCTGAAAACGTAACGATACCTTGCTGCTCAAATAACTGCCTGGATTTACGTACGTACAGCCGACTTGGTGTCGCTCTAAATCACATTGTGTCTTTTTTTTACTCGCAGCAAGGAAGCAAATATCTACCAAATCTTTTCCTCAGAGAAAATATCCTGACAGGTGGAGTTAAATATAAATAATTGGAAAGACTAATTAGTGACAGTTATAAGGCAAAAAAAAAAAAAAAAACGAAACAAAGCATGGCACCAAAACTTAAGTCCAAACCTGCTTGAACTAAAACTTGTATTAGTCGTAACAACTCAAGGCACACACCTCCGGGACGCGCTCCAACCATGTCTTTCCTCACTACTTATCCAATAGTCTGTCTCGGCGTGTACCGTTGCCCTCTTCCTCTACAAAACCGCAAGCTAATTCACTTTAGGAGAAAAATAAAAACACAAACATGGAGAACTTTTCATGGATAGAGATAAAAGACATCCACTACAGCAGCAAATCTATCTGTGATCGATTGTGACATACCATAACAGTGCATTGACCCTCCTGAAGAAAAAAAAAAAAAAAAAAAAAAAAGAAGATATAACTAAACATTCCCTAAACAAAAGAGAACATTAGTCTAACAGGAGGCGAATCGGGAGGATTGAAAGCGAGACGTGGCCTTACAGGTTGGGAGGTTTGAGGGGGGGCTGCCACAGCCACTGATCTGATACCAGGTTAGCCCCTTGACTTATCCTGAGCTAAACCGTTAGCAGTGAAACAAAAGAGTGATCTCAGAGCAGCGTCTGCGATCGGCCTCGTCCTAATCTCAGAGCTCTTTAAGTCACAGAAGCGGGTCGGGGTTTTGTGTTCTGGTCTGGCGGTGGCTGGGGCTGAGCTGCCGGCGCTGTCCAGAAGCTTGAGTCTGGCGCTTCTCTTGGCAAAACAAAATGTGGAGGACTGGAAGGAAGCACGGAGGGGGAACCACTGAACAAGAGGTAATATCCATCCTCCCTCAGTGGCAGGGGGGAGTATTTGGGTGAAGGTGGCGAAACGGGAAGTGGGAAACAGCGATGAGGAAGAGAGACGTCCGTTCTCCCCTTGGTTTTGAAGAGCGGGGAGGGAAAAAAAGAAAACAATCTAAGAGGAGAGCCGGTGTGTCCATTAGCCCTAAATCATCTAGAGTTAATGGGAGGAGGTACAGAGAAAGGGAGACAGGAAGGTGAAGGAGAGAATGACTCAGCCCGAAACATTTAGCTCTCCTCAAAGTCCTGAGATGAGGACTCCAGTTTGCTTTTCTTGCTGGGTGGGGTCTCCTCCTGTAGATCCTGGAAGCAAGAAACAAAAAAAAAAAAAAAAATCAAAGCATGATTACATCTGATGAGCAAAGAAGCACCAAGAAGGCAGTTTTCACCTTGTTCAGCCCCAACCAGTGACTAGCTGCGTTTCCATTATCACTGTGTGCAAAGCTCTAATGTCAAAAAACTACTTTGCAATTACCGCGTTTCCATTAAATAAGAAAGGACATTAAAAATACGTGTGAATAAGCTTGTTCATTAGCAAACCTAACTACTCCAGCTACTTCCTGTCGTCTTCTTCCGGCTGTTGATCACGTGACTTGTGTGATACACAGAGCTTTTTCCATTTTGCAAAATAAGTCAATTTTGATAATAATAAAATCACTTCATCCTCGTATCAAACCATTTTATAAATAAATTAAAAAAATGTTTTTCAAAATTGCTGTTTCCATTAAGCAACTTATTTTCTAAACATCAAATTGTGCAATAATATAATAAAAGGAAACATTTGTAGGATTTGTAGTCATATATTGGGTGCAAGCGGCGTTGTGTAAGCTAAAATGCTACAGCTAGTTAAAACGCTAATGACAGCATGTAGACTACCAGTAGCAGGTTGACCTGTACTGCATTCACTATGACAAAAACCCATTTAAAAGCTAAAATTAGTTAAACTCCTAATGAGCTGAAATGTTCTCAATAGCATGCTGAGCTATCACAATGCAAACAAACTGAAAATGCTGTTTGTTTGTTTTTTTAACTCACTCCTTTCAGACTATTAAATTTAGCTTTTATATCAAGGTTAGCTAAAATACTAACTAGGATTAGCATTGTAGCTAATTCTAATTAGCATTTAGCAGCTGCTGCTGGAGGTCAAAACCCCACAGGGGGCCTTTAATGACTGAGTGAGAATGTTACACATGGACTTTAAGGGGAGGCACATGCTTCAAGGGCAGCATGTCCACACTAGAGGTCTTTAAATATTCAGTAGCCGTTCAGTGGGTGCCGTAGGAAATCACTGTTCAGGACTTTAAACTGGAACACGAGTGAAACAGAAACAAAAATGTTGTTTGTGTTTTTTGGGCTTTTTATGAAACGAATCCTGTTTTCAAGTCACACAACAACAAAGGGTAAAATCTCTCACTCTTTCAGTGATTTATTCTTAAAGAACTTTTGCATTATTAGCCATGTTGTTCCTAGAAAGCAGGTAGAACAGAGATCCGGAGCAGCGTGTGAAAACCTGAACACCCTGCATGGGCTGCTGCTCCTCTGAGAGGTTCGCAGAGACGTGCAGACGTGTTCATACCTGAGTGGCTTTGCTGTCTGAGGAATCTTTCTCCCCTGAGGACAGACTGTCTCTCTTGGCACTTTGTGCTCGCTCTGAGGTCTCTGATGTGGGAATGCTCTTCCCTGAAATCACAACACAGTAAAAAAGAAAAAAAAATCTCAGACAAACTTCTCACTTCTTCATCAGGCAGCAAATACAGACAAGAACTCTTCAGTGTGTGTTTGGGGACAGTGTGCTCTTTTCATGGCCACTTTTTTGACACGCTACTGACCCCAAGTGGTTACATGGGGTAACACCAAGATCGGAATCAGAACCCAAAGAGCTGAAACTAAAATTATATTAAATTTATTAATTAAATTTGAACAAAGCCAGCAGATGTAGATGCTGTGACAAAAGGGAAAAAATACATTCTGCAGCGCTCGATGTCTTACACAAATTGCAAAAGTTTACACTTAAATTTGTAGTGCAGCACCTTTTTTTTGGATCTTGTTCTTATTCCATGTCATTCTACTTTTATAATATTTTATACTTATCTGGTTTCTGATTGAAACAAATAAACAAATCAATTACACTTTATTTCCACTAAAAGGAAAAATAAAGGATTTCTGGTAGCAGTCAGTTTAGCAACAAATCTGAAGAGGCCTCTGACTGAAGACGGTTGCTGTCTGTCATGACATGAAACAGCTCAATGTCAGGGGAGCAAACATATTTTGCAGTAATGGTGCGTTCACACGTACACACATTATGCGGTCAAAAACATGTCCGACGATGTGGACATTTTACTCTACACCCTGCCGTTTTGAGCATTTGGTTTTGAC